TGTGAGAGTGTGAATTGTGACAATGAATTGAGTCGTGATGATAGTGAATCAGAACATCTCTTATAATAACCACCGTGAGAATGATTTATCGCTGGTTTGCAAGATGAGAAATACTGTCGCTTTGATTAATTTGATGGTGTTTGTAAAGTGTGCAGGTGAAAACAATCACTGGATATAATGGCCAATAGTAATCGAGGGTGTAATTATGGGCTTGTCATATACACTGCCTGAATGTTGATTCATCTTCTGTTGCAATGAAATGTACTCTCAGCACAATTGGTTTATTAGGAGACACATTTGAAACATCTGGATATGATCGCATTCGAAATTGGGGCTGCGTGCTCTCTCTCATTAAAGGCAATCATTCCCTTTTCCCAAGTGGCACTCATTTACCCAAGATCTATATAGAATTATCTTGAATCTGATTGTGTGAGGGGGAGAAAGCCCATACACAAGTATCTTATGAAGCGCAAAAACAATCAAACGTCTATGCATCACATCAGACATAAGTTTAACAAATGTATGAATGCATACAAAATTGAGCTGCATTTTCTTTACGCAGAGAATTCAGTCACTGCACCAATTTAAAGTTAAGGGCTCCACTGTGGCAACATATTGGCTACTTCGCCTGGTATACAGGAGGGCATAGGTTCGATCCCGACCCTGACGCCTTTCTATTTGGAGTTTGCATATTCTCTCTCTTCTCCCGTGTTCGTGTGGATTTTCCTCCGGGTCCTCAGGTTTCTTCCCTCCACATTTATAAACATACGTTTAGAGTATTTAGAGTATTTGGCTGTTATAAATTTCCACGTGATAAGCCACTTCGTTGAGGTTGTGGCCAGGTCGTTTCTGATAAAGAGCTCAGTGCAAATCGTAGAGTAGAATGATAAAGCGGGGTTAATTTGTTTAGTGTTGCATCAGTAGCTGCTCTGTAAGCAGTGTCAGAGTAGTCAAAAAGTGGTAAATTGATAGCATCAACAATTTGCAAGCACAATCAAATGGTAAAAACAATGTTATGAATAAAAACCCTATTTTAATTTGATTTTATTTGAGATGTGAATTACATGGGGTTGGTATTTAAGTTTTGAATCAGTCAGTAAACACAAGTATTTGAAGCACTCCGTTTGTTCAATGTTGTTGCTTTTGATATCCGTAATAGGTGAAGGGAATTAAACTGAATTTTTGTTTGAAGGAAATAGCATGACGTTCATCTTTAGCGATTTTGAAGCAATTCTTTCACTGGCAATTGATATTGAATTAAGTCGAAATCGTGTTGGAGATTCTATTTGACTTCGTTTGGAGATTTACCCAATACTAGTGTAGTGACATCGCGTGATGTCACTGTGCTGTGCCGGCCCTAGAGAGGCACGGCGTGCGATGTAACGACATCACAGACACCACTATGATGTGGGTGTAGTACCGGCCCTAGAGAGGCACGGCGTGCGATGTAACGACATCACGGACACCACTATGGTGTGGGTGTAGTACCGGCCCTAGAGAGTCACGGCATCACAGACACCACTATGGTGTGGGTGTAGTACCGGCCCTAGAGGGGCACGGCGTGCGATGTAACGACGTCACGGACACCACTATGGTGTGGGTGCAGTACCGGCCCTAGAGGGGCTCGGTGAGTGCTGTTGATAGCGCTGGGTGGCACCACGCTTGGCGTGCAGTGCCAGCCCTCCAGGATAGGGTGTGGGGGTGCCGAAGTTACTAAAGGCCATGGCACTCTGGTTGACCCGAGAGGACACCTGACCGGTGAAGTCTACAAAGGGGCCCCAAGTGGGGGCTAGGGGTGGTCACGTGGTCCGGGTCCAGATCCTGCTCGATGATTCTGGAAGGTGGTCGTGGCCAAGGGCGGAACCAGCGACGCCGCAGATAATATAAGCCAGGTCCCCCAATGGACCGACGTTGTTGTTCATTCTGAAGAAACCTTCGTCTACGTTCTACGTTCTACCGAGTCTCCAACACGTGGACCTGGACCCGAGCTCTGGTCCGGTCCGTTGTAGCTCGTTACGTTGTAATTAGTGCAGTTAGCCTGGTGGTCACCACCATAGATTGTTATACTATAAGGGGCAGTTACCCCGTGTGTTGGTGTTAAATAAATGTGTTGCCTCAAAGAGTACGTCTGCGACTCGGTTGAAATCACTACAACTGGTGTCGGAAATGGCCAAACATTATTTTATGAGTAAGCTAGCCGAGTTAGGTTATGTTTACACGAAGCAGACTACATACCAGGACGTCGGACGACGAAGTTATCCCTCAAAGAGCCCCGGGGATGGTGACCCCGGAAAAAAGGAGTGAGGCGCCAGTGGCGGAGCATTGCGTCGACCATTCATGCGACAGCTCACCACCGTCGGGGAGGGAGCGCCACACAGCCCACTCCCGCCTCGCAAAACTCCTCCAAGCCGCGAAGAGCCAGCGGTGGAGGAGAGAGAAACGGATCCGCGTGGGACTAAACATCCCGTCGCCATTTCCCGCCAACGGGGAACCTCCGTGGCGCAGCCCGCGCAGGCGGCCGCTATTTTGATCGTGGAGAGGAGCGAAGAGCCCGCCAAATCTGAGACTGCGTCAAACTCGCCCGTGGATATTCCATCTCTCAGGCGACGGCTGCCCTTTGTTAAATAATTTATAGCCGCCGGAGGCGACTGGGTGGCCTTCAAGTGCCGGTTCCAGACGAACTGGTACTTGGCGGGGTGGACGGAGGCAGAGGCACTGAGAGCGCTGCCCGCCAGGCTTGACGACAATGCCTTGGCAGCGTTTCTCACCATCCCGCCGTCGGAGAGGGTCACATTACATCACGCCTTTGCGCAAATGGCGGCAATCTACGAACCGCCGTCAAATGTGCACCATAAGTTCGCTGCGTGGAGGAGGAGGGAGGCCGAGATGCCCCTCACCTTCCATAGCGCACTATTGGCGCTAGCAAAGGCTGACGTCTCGAAGATGGACCACGACGGATTCGATTTGCTGGTTTTCGAGAGATTGTTGACGTTGGCAAAGGACCTCAACATCATCCTGCCGGCTGTCGACGGAGACGACTTGTCTTCTCTCAATGTTGCAAGATGCATTCAGGCGCACCTGCTCTTGCAACGGCATAAGGGGTTGGCGGCGTGTACCACGCCTCGTGAGGTGCGGGATACACCTAAAGATGTGGAGCCCATCCAAACCTGCGCTTCAACTCAAGGCAGAGGCTGGCGGGGGGACGGCATGGTGTGACGAGATGAACACCAACGATGGAGGAAGACCTCTCCTGATCCTGGGAGCGGGCTCGTCGTGTGCTACAACTGCGGGCCTGCCGGGACACGTCTCAACGGGCTGCCGCGTGCTGTGACGACGCCTCCCCGGACCACCGCCGTCATCCGCCCGACCGTCATCCAATCCACTATACCCAAACGCGAGTCATGACACACCACACACTCGGCCCCTGAATCCACCTCACTCATCGCGTTCCTCACTCATCGCGTTCCATAAGGTTTTTGTTTGGTTAGATGACGTAAATATCCGTCGTTAAACCCACCACCCAACACAGCCAATTGGTAAGGTTTGTTATGTAAATAAAACTTAACCAATTAGTTACTAGTTCAGAACACCGGTGTGATGGAAAGTAAACCCACAATATTTACAATTTGAGTATGATGTTTAGCAGATAATTATTAGACAGAAGATGTCCGGCCAAAGATTATTTAATTCCATTTTGAATTTCTCAATTTTGCACCGGTGGGGCGGCCGACTTTTCTCAACTCTGCGAGTTGGTGGTCTTCACGACAAAACGGCCTGGACAAGGCCGACAGCATTTGCACGTGCAAAGCGCATCTCTGCGTGTTGTTAAACATACACGGCGGTATGCAGAAGACAGCGTCCAACTGTTTACCCCAGCACTCGAGGTTTTTCTGTCAAAAGTTCTGGTTTTAATATTATGCTAAAAGGAGTGACCAGAGAAGAGTCGTGCACGATAGGACTCTCCCGACTCCACTATACTGCCCCAAATGCAGGTGGTGTCTCACGCTCACCTCGGCAACGATCCCTCAACCCTGCCTTCTAACTGGCTGCACCACTTCACTCTCTCTGCAGCAGCCTTTCAGTCCGGACACACTACGGTCTCTCAGTTGTGCCGTTTTATTAAATCACTGTTACACTTCACACTCTATGCTCACACCAGTGTAGGTGCTCTCTATGTCGGTGCTTACCCCGGACACTGATCACTATTTGGTCCTACCCTCGGCTATCCCGTTGGGCTCTCTCACACGTTTGCCCGGAGCGGGGGTTCAGCCAATACCGCCCCGTGATGAGGAGAGAGATACCCTCCTTCAGCCGAACCTTTACTCCACACTACAGGGCCTTACCCTCGGCTATCTCCTTGGCTCTCTCCAACCGATCCTTACCCTGGCTCCCCATAACAACCCCGCCTCCATCACGGGGTCCCCCTTAAGAACCCCTTGGGTGGCTCCACCCCCCAGCTCGGACCCGCCTTTGTTCCCGAAGGTACCTCTTACACCACTGTGACATTACGTCATCCTTGACTGTCAACCCACTCGCACCTCCTTCTGTTTGCCCCCTTATGGTTACTCACAATACTCCTCGACATCTCTTAGTAGACGCTTTCTTTTGGCAATTCCACGCAGGCCTTCTTGGCCCACCGAGGGAATCGAACCATCAACCCAAACGTCAACGGGTTCAAAACAAGCACGCTCACAGCTCGGCAATGCAGAAAGCACAAATTCGCGGTCATATCATTTCAGTCTGGATTCGAAACTGAATAACACATTTCCCTGGATGTATTTTTTTATCACTGTGGATAAATGCCCCTTTCTTACACACACACACATTTCTCAAGTAAACTATAAAATATAACCTCGCCTAGTTTCTTGCCAACTTCCAAATGCATCGTCAACATAACATTTTGTCATAAGTCAGTTTTTTGTTGTTGTACCGAAGTAACAGCTTGCTGGAAACACGCTTTGGATTTTGTAAAAAACAAATTCCGTACGTTCGAAGCGGTACATCAGGCACTGGCATAATAATAATAAGCGATTTTTATGACCAGTTTTATTAGTTCTTCACAGTTGTTAACACGGGAGCCAGAGCAAGTAACAGTACCCAGAGCGTTTGCAGTCGAGTCGGTTAACACGAGAGAGGAAGCACAGGTTGAAAAAGTGAATCCAGAATCCAAGCTCCGTGAAGATGGACGGGGGGGGGGGGGGTGAGAGAATGTTCTGTGTTGCAGTGAACGAGCCGCAAACAGCTGATGGAACGAAATGTGGCAAGGCGTGTCGACCGAATCATGGGAAATGCATTCGAATCACGCGCGGACGGACACTCGTGTGACGGATTGCGTTTATAAACCTCCGGTACGATTCTAACAATACGCCTTGAGGGTTTGCATAAATATAACGCGCACGATTGCTGTGAATACAACAATCTTATACTTGATTTTCTTACGTATTCTCCCTTCGTGTAATGACCCAATGGCTGGGTTCGCTCAACGGCCCCTGTGGGTGTTAAGTCAGGTGCAGTTTCTCCGAGTTGAACGTTGGTGATTATTGCGGTAGTAACGGGTTTTCCTCTGGCTGGGAGCTCTGGTCATGGCACATAATGGACGCCACACAAGTCACCTGTATCACCCCCATCATCTTACTTCAGCATGTACACCGACGCAGAGGAATCCACGCCGCCAAACGGGCATAATTAATTGCCAGTAAAAAAACAAGTTTACTAAGATTTGTAAACAAGGCATGATTCCAAGAGAAATGGAAACAAAGGTTTAACTACATTCCCTGACTAGTGTCGGAGCCCCTATCCGGTACTATAGCTACTTAGGAACGCGATAAGGCAACATTAATGTTCACTTGCAGTGAGAGGTCACAATGGGGGGGGGGGGGTCTTTAGCCATGGAAGGCGGTGAAAACTCCTAATAAATAACCTGCAGCAGCAAAGCCACCACCAGCCCTCCTGGGTGAATTCTGATGAGCGTGCCGAGAGAATGCGCGGCGCAAACGCCGCCGATTGGCGCGGTTGGCTACGTATGGTGCGGGAAAAGTTCGGCACACTGCACAAGTCCCCAACCACTGAAATCAATCCACGCGCACGCATCTCTAGCATGTATGCGGCGTCTTGGTAGCTTTCCGCCGTCTTTGAAAAAGATGTCGTGCACTGTCTCTCCTAGTTTCATACTTCACTAACGCCGGCAAAGAAATTAATTTATCGAACATCGCGATAATGTCAGGTCACGGCACTCTATGGGGACTCAAAAGGGCATGGCGTTTTGACTTCATTCGCCTGGTGGACACAGACGCCAAGACCAACGTGACACTTTCAGTATGAAGATAGGGTCACGGCCCTTAATCATATATCCTATATATCTCGAGACAACTTTACACGCCCCAAAGCATGAAATATTGACAATGTAGAAAACCCAAAGGTTGTGCAGGTTGGTCCACTTGAGAACATTCGTCAATTGAAACCGCCCTGTCGTGAATGCTGGCCATGTGCGATCAGTTCATTGCATAACAAAGCACTGCCCCATTGTATGAATGCTGTGCTCCACACACAGCTGCCAGTTGCATTTCAAACGCCATCGTCGATTAGGCTGAATGCTTCCATTGCTATCACAGTCCTCGTTCTCCAAAGTGGCTTGAACCACGGCATCATCCTTCTCGTTCTTCTTTCTCCGTTGCTGTCAAAGCAGGACGTGACGTAAAGCGCACACGGGCGTCGCACTGTAGGTATCTATATCGAATATTCGTCCTGGAAACCTTGGCCGGGTCTCGGGCTGTCTGACGCGAATTTAAAGGTTCGTTCGGGAGGAAAAAGGAGACATTCTGGGCAAGCGAACATTATGGAAAGGTGCGTCAATACGGCACTCCAACATGGGCTAGTACACCGATCGGGGTTGATACACCTTGAGCCATTTGAATTTTGGGTTCCATTTTCCTGAATTAAAAAAAAAAATGCAATATCAGTTCAACACGGAGACAACATCCCCGAAACGACGTGAGCAGCAGCGTGAGAGAGACACAACGCAGCGCAAGAGCGGACAGGAAGCAAGTGGACGCGCAGGTCAGCACGCGCAATTAGCCCTTAAAATACAGGAAGCTGCTAAAATACCAACAAGTAAAACAAACGCCTTAATGGAATGTAACAAGTCAGCAAACGTTGTGTATTTAAATGCATTGCAACGTTTACAGCCGGTAGGATGAAAGCTGCCGATGTTTATGTGAACGGGTGAACACGATGGTGAACATTGCTCTTTCAATACACTGTCATTTTCAGCAAAATTTTTTTCATGGAGACTTCTCTAACAAATACAAAAGTGATCAACCTTTGCGAGATGTGACCAACATGTCGTTACACCCTACAAAGATAAAGATCCCCCGCATAGCCTTAACAGACTGTTGGGGCAAGTGCTGTTAGCGAGCACCTATGAAGGCCCGGCACGACACATGAAGGTGTGGGTGGCCAACAACACGACCGGCCACCTTTGTCTTCCCAGTGGCGATGTTTACACACTGCACCAGGTACTCACTTGAGGCTGAGTCGACCTAGGGGAGGCCCAGGACCGGTTCAGATAATCGTCACTGGTGTTGGCCGTGAGCGGGACTGGAACCCGGGTTGCCAGGTTCGTAGCGCAGCGTAGCGCTAACCGCTACACCACCGCACCCCATTTACACCCTACACACACGCGTATGCGCGCGTGTGCATATATGCAAGGAGTTAAACGTGGAAACATTTTAAACAACAACAACAACCGAGGGACTCTCAAAGGACGCTCCGCGAGCGACGCAAGGCGTTGGCTCTGTAGCCAGCTGCTGGAGCCATCCCCGTTCCCGAGTGAGACCAGCACTCGCCCATCCCTCCTCAAGGCCCCACACGCGGTGCCCCCATCCCGCACAGCGCACTGGCAAGACGAGACTCGTGCCGCGCATTATTTTTATTAGCTACAAATTTTTTAAACAAAAATGCGGTCACCCGCGGAAAAAACTTCCCTCGCAATTGATGCGACGCATGTGGAACGTGCACTGCACATGGCTTTTTCCCTTCGAGGGTGCGCGCCGTGCACCCTCCTGGCTTCCGTCCCGGACCGTCGTTGCCCACCGTCGACGCCGTCACGGCGGCATTCCCCCCCCCCCCCACCCCCCCAGATGCCCCCCTCACATGTGCTTGCGCGGGACCCAAACCCGCCTCTTCTGCTCCGCGACGACCGCCTCCCTCGCCTCCTGCAGGATGACCCCCACCACCGTGCCGTCCTTAGCCGCCGGCGCGCCGCCGTCCTGCTCGCTGGCGAGCGCCTTGAGCAGCGAGCCTCTGCCCTTGAGCTCCACGTAGTTGTATCCGCTCTCGGCCAATGCCTTCCGGTCCTCGTTGAATGCCACGGTTGGCGGCGACGAGTTGTCCGTAGGATCCACGAGCGACAGCTCCTTCCTGCGAAGCGGTGTTACGTGTCCGTGATTATTGCGCTTCGCTCGCCGCCCCCCGGACGCGTGACAAACAACAAGAAATGTGGGGGGGGGGGGGGGGGTAGGGGCATGGCACGGAGCAAGAGCACGGGTGTTACAATCCCAGTTGTTCAAAGACTACGAAAACTATTTAGCTAACCGTTTTTATTTTATCAAGGCCCACCGATCTATGTAGCTCGTTTTCAGAAGCAACAAATGAGAGCACAACACAGTCGCTCATCATGTGGAAATGTAGAGCAGCCAAATACTCTAAGCGCATGTTTTTAAATGTGGAGGGAAAAACCGGAGCACCCGGAGAAAAATTCCACGCGACCACGGGGAGAGAACACGCAAACTCCAAATATACAGCGGCAGGCGTCAGGGTCGGTATCGAATCTACGACCTCCTGCACACCAGGCCAGGGAGTTAACATCTCGCCACCAGCTGGCAGCGAATTGTACATATGTACGTACGTTGAACTTCTTTTACACCGTACGTAGCCAACCGTGCTAATCGGAGGCGCGGGAATTGTCCATCTGGGTGGATACACTGAGTAAATTTGGAAAGGAACAGTGATCATTCAATGGAAAAGTGACCATGGGAATGTGTAGTTTTCACCTTAGGCTCAAGCCTATCCATGAAGATGAGCGCATTGTCACACTTAATTGCGTGGACGTTTAGAAGCGGTGGTTTCCCCGTTCAATACAAAGTGGTTACAGACTGAGACGAATGAGCTCCCACTGTTGTGATGATTCCGCTCGTTGACTCAGGAAAGGCTCGAGTATTTGCATTTAGAGATTACGTTACTTTTTGTAATCCCATCTCAGTAATTTGCAGATATTTTTTGCATTGGGATGTTTGGCCAAGGCCAGTTACATTGTTCTAGATTGAAAACTCATTTCTTCAGAACTGCTTTTTGTGTTTAGTTTGTTGCTCTTCCCCCGAACCCTCGATTGGCTACGTACAGTGAGAAGTTAAACATACATACACACATATATATTGTACGATTGTTTTTTTTTCAGATATCGGAGTAAACCGAAGAACCCAGAAGGAACCCATGCAGAGCAAGGGGAGAACATTTAAACTCTGCACAGGAAGGCGCCCTAGTCGGGAATCGAACCCAGGTCCTTCTTGCGGTGAGGTGCGAGTGGTGGTCACCACTGCACCGCCGAGCTGCCCACTGTTGGAGTGCACCAATAAGTGTGGGGTTAGAGGTCGGTTACGTTGACGCACACACACGCACACGCGCACACACACACACGCGCACACTCGTTGCATTTGCTCACTTGTTTTTTAAGAAGATGAAAATGATGATGGGGAAAATGTCAGCTTTGTGAAGAAGTTCCACCGCATCCAAACCGATTGGAATCACGCAGTGAACCTGCGGGAGAGAGACACGCATCAACAACACGGCCAGCGCCTTCTCGGTGCCCATGGGGGAAGCTCTCCTGAACTCCACATTCAAGACGTTCATGCATTTTTTGTTCAAAACGAGAGTGAGTGGATTCAGCTCGGCCACAACGTGGTTACAACAGAGAGGCACAGCCCTGCAATGTCTTGCTCATGCCATGTGCTTCGAGGGAGCTCTGGAGAGTAGAGTATCTTGGGTCTACTTTTCTAGACGCCGTGGCAGAAGTGGGAGTACCCACATTTTACCCCGCCACAAATGCCCTGCCCATCGACTGACTGCGGTGTGACTCACACTGCTGGGTGGCCGGAGGCAGAGGGATTGAAGAAATGTGCCCCATTGTTTCAACTGCAGCGCAGAGATTTTAATGTGGTGACCTTCGGATTGCAAGTCCAGTGTGTGTACCTTTGCACCAGAGCATCTTGATTGTATGGAAGGATATATATATATTTGTTTATTTGCTCTTTACAACTGTCGCGCATCCAACACTGGGGGTACAATTAAAAAAAGCTACACGGAGCCTTGTACCGGAGCAAGCAATTCACTGGAGACACAGAGGATTCCGAGGGATAAGGCTACGACGGGTTGAGCCACTGACTGTAAACACTGGCTCCGTGGCAGGTGCGCTCAGCCCAATGGGACTATCAGTGCACTTGGAGCACAGCAGTTATAGGCCGCATGCCTACAGCTCGCTGAGCTGCATTTGCTTCCGATGAGGCCGCACTCATTACACGCAGAGTTCTGGACAAATGAAGCAGTGTGCCTCCCTGATCTTTCAGATGCGCTTCTGCGGCCGTCTGGAACGCTCTTCCCATGTAAGGAAGCCACTTTTAAATCATCTAGGATGAAAATGTATTTATTTTAGAACTGCTTTTTGTGTTTAGTTTGTTGTCCTTACCCACCGCACCTCCAATTAGCATAGTTGGCTACGTACGGTGCGAAAGAAGTGCAACAGGCATACAAAAAAACACAGAGACCCCCTTACAGCCTTAACAAACTCAGTTACGGAAAGTGCTGTTAGCGAGCACCTAAAAAGGCCGGCGCGGCACAGGCATATAAAGACACACACATGCGATTAGCCATGGAAATGGGAGCGTGTCTACTGTGGGTGGGAATCCACCTTGTCCATCTGCTCCCGCAAGGAAGGAAGGAGCCAGCAGCTGTGAGGTCCGCTCCCAGGGCAACCCGATTTCAAAACCTCCCCCTTGTTCTCGCGCCTGGCAAACTCCTCGGGTGAGAGGTTCACTGTGAGGGGGGGGGGGGGGGGGGTAGTGCCAGACACCGTCGCAGATATCCACGAGAGTTACCACGTCGCAGTAGCCTTGTAGATTACATACACAACAAATAAGCACACACGTGCATCAGCCTGTACGATGCCTCGTCACACTGCTCCACACAGGAAACATCTCCCATTCACCTTCGTGTCACCGCTCAATTCACGCTTGATTTTTTTAAAGGTATGTTTTACTGGAACGAGCGGTGCACACCACATCTCCCACGTTGGAAGCAGTAGGAGGCCGCGATGCGAGCCCGAGTGCAGCGTCCCGAGGAGGTCATGGAGACTTCGACTAGCACGGTTGGCTACGTGCAGTGCGAAAAAAGTTCAGCATACAAAGTTCAACATACAAAGTTCAACATACAAAGTTCAATATACAAAGTTCAACATACATACGTACAGACGAACGAGACAGCACAGCACACAGCTGGCGACTATCACCGTCCAAACGATGGAGGGCACTCGCTCGCTCTGCCCTTACGTACCCCCCCCTGCCCGTCGGCCCCCGATGTTTCCGTGTCCCTGGTGATTGCAGACATTACGGACAGCGGGGAAGGGAGGAATGACCACCCATAGAGCAGAGGTTGACAAAGGGGATGACCGAGAGGAGTCGGTGGTCGTTGCAGCGGCAAAATGGGGAGAGACGTCAACAGGGTGGAAAGGAAAGGCCATGGCTGGTCGTGGCCGCCACGTTACAACGCGGTAGACACTGCAATGAAGGGGTTGATGGGGAAGCAGTGGAGCAACACGAAGACGTTTTCAATTTGGCCCCTCTTGTCGGTCCAACAAAGGGGCCCGCAGCGGGGGCGCGTGAATCATTCCTACCAGCCTCCCGTGAATCGTTCCCACTAGCCCCCCCTGAATCGTTCCCACCGCCCCCCCTGAATCATTCCGACCGGCCCCCGTTAATCGTTTCCACCGGCCCCCCGTTAATCATTCCCACCGACCCCGCAAATCGTTCCCACCGGCCCCGGTTCGCCTCCACGGTGCAGGTGGAAGCTGAACGGGGCCGGTGCCACTTTGTTGGGTTGTCATTTGTGATAGCCAGGACGCTGATGAAAATGAGCCACATAGCTCAGTGTTTCCTTACCTGCTAAGATAAAACATAGTTTAGTTTAATAGGTCACAGTGAAGGCCGAGCAGCACCACCTGGAAGGTAGTGGACCATGTCCTGGTACTGCCTGGCGAGCAGCGGGCCCAGGTGCCGTGCCACCAGGCTGGGCAGCACGACGACGGGGCGGCGTGCCGTCACTCGGTGGGGAGTCACCAGCGTGTAGGGCAGCCAGCCCCCACTGTCTGCAGGAGGAGGAGGAGGAGGGGGGGGTGGAGGAGCGGGGGATGCACCCCAAGCGGTGAGTGCACGCTGGCGTCTCCATCGTCCTTGCTCCGGGTGTCTCGGGGCGATGTGCAGCTCGGGCCGCGGTATCTTTTGGCAACGCCCTGCACTGCCCCGAGCCTGACTTACGCTCTCATTGTACCCCCCACGTAGATTGGTGCAACGTGCGGATGGCTAGGAGATGTTAACTCCCAACGCCTGGCATGCAGTAGGTCGTGGGTTCGATCCCGACCCTTACGACGCCTGTATTGATTTGGAGTTTGCGTGTCTCTCGCTCTCCCCGTGCTCACGTGGGTTTTTCTCCGGGTCCTCCGGTTTTTCCCTCCAACAGTTAGAGTATTTGGCTGCTATAATAATGCTTTTTTGTTTACAGTTTTTAATAGGTCACACGGGACTAACTACAGGTTTGGATAACTGCAACTGCTCATTGAGCCACCTGCGACTGTAATCCACACGTTTGGAATGATCCGGTGTTACCTGAAACACGTGAGGGTGGCCACGCCAGATCATCACACGAGTTCCCTCGATTGGATTATGATACTTATCATTCAACTACACAGAGTCTACAAATCGCCCTTCATGCCTTGGGCTTATACTGGTGTAGCGACATCGCGGGATGTCACTGTGTAGTGCCGGCCCTAGAGAGGCACAGCGTGCGATGTAACGACATCACGGACACCACTATGGTGTGGGTGTAGTACCGGCCCTAGAGGGGCTCGGTCAGTGCTGATTTATAGAGCTGGATGGCATCACGCTTGGCGTGCAGTGCCGGCCCTACAGGAGAGGGTGTGGGAGTGCCGGCCGTAGGAATGAGGTTACTAAAGGCCATGGCACTCTGGTTGACCCGAGAGGACACGTGACCGGTTAAGTCTACAAAGGGGCCTCTAGTGGGGGCTCGGGGTGGTCACGTGGTCGGGGTCCAGATCCTGCTCGAGGATTTTGGAAGGGGGTCATGGCGGAGCCAGCCACGCCGCAGAGGGTCCCCCCAGAGGGGCCGGCGTTGTTGTTCATCCTGAAGAAACCTTCGTCAACGTTCTACGTTCTCCGAGTCTACAACACATGGACCTGGACCCGAGCTGTGATCCCAGGCCGTAGTAGCTAGGTATGTGTAATTAGTGTAGTTAGCTTGGTGGTCACCACCCGGGTAACTACACTAGTTACGTTGTAATTAGTGTAGTTAGCCTGGTGGTCACCACCCTGTTAACTACACTAGTTACGTTGTAATTAGTGTAGTTAGCCTGGTGGTCACCACCCGGTTAACTACACTAGTTACGTTGTAATTAGTGTAGTTAGCCTGGTGGTCACCACCCGGTTAACTACACCAGTTACGTTGTAATTAGTGTAGTTAGCCTGTTGGTCACCACCCTATTAACTACACCAGTTACGTTGTAATTAGTGTAGTTAGCCTGGTGGTCACCACCCAGTTAACTACACGAGTTATGTTGTAATTAGTGTAGTTAGCCTGGTGGTCACCACCCGGTTAACTACACCAGCTACGTTGTAACTATTGTAGTTAGCCTGGTGGTCACCACCCGGTTAACTACACCAGTTACATTGTAACTAGTGTAGTTAGCCTGGTGGTCACCACCCGGTTAACTACACCAGTTACATTGTAACTAGTGTAGTTAGCATGGTGGTCACCACCCGGTTAACTACACCAGTTACGTTGTAATTAGTGTAGTTAGCCTGGTGATCACCACCCTGTTAACTACACCAGTTACGTTGTAATTAGTGTAGTTAGCCTGGTGGTCACCACCCGGTAAACTACACCAGTTACGTTGTAACTAGTGTAGTTAGTATGGTGGTCACCACCCGGTTAACTACACCAGTTACGTTGTAACTAGTTACGTTGTAACTAGTGTAGTTAGCCTGGCGGTCACCACCTTGCTAACTACACCAGTTATGTGGTAACTAGTGTAGTTAGCCTGGCGGTCACCACCATAGGTTGTCATTCTGTTAAGGGGAAGTTACCCCGTATGTTGGTGTTAAATAAATGTGTTGCCTCCAAATCTACGACAGTAACTCGGTTGAACGCAATACACTGGTATTTCACCACCGCCTCTCTTTTCTGTTGAGACAAACATCAAACACCGAATTAAAACATTCAGCTTAATCTAAATACGAGGCAAAGCGATAAACTTGAAATCTGCGTTTAAGTTTGTAAAACTGGCAAAGTGCCAACCGTGACTCGGTAGTGACGTACGAGAGTGGCGCGATGGCGCAGCCTTGCCCCTCTCTAGCTCTCCCTGGCCCCTCTCATCACACTCGCTTCACACTCGCACTGCCGCTGCCTGCATTGGTTTTGGGGCCATTTCTTCATTTCTTTATGAAATATTTTTTTCGCTTGGTCAGAGAGCCGGACTCTGGCACAGCAACTCTAGAAGAAGCTCCCCGCCTTTGCATACAGCTAGGATTTCAATGACACTCCACCAGCAAGCTTACCAGCTTGGTTGGGAACTGGTGACTGTGGTCTGGGATGTGTGGCAGTAGACCTCATGGACTCATTGCTCTGTTGTGATAACTTTTTTTAGTTTTTTGTGCTTTTTGTTTCGGTGCCATTTCATAATCAGTTCATTAATTCGTTTTCTTAGTCTTCTTGGCAGTAGAGTTTTCATTTGCTTGGTAATAGCCATATATGGTATATGGGTCCTTATATATAATTAATGTACAGCGTTATGGGATGCTATTCGATTGAATGACGCGAGATAAAATGAAAGTATTGTTATTTGTATGCATGATTGTGCGAGCCTTGTATCACTGCATCGGTGTGGACCCGAAATCTCATTCTGCCTTACGCAACTCCTATCAGCATCATTTAAGGAATCAACTTCTTTATCAGATGCTGCCACTCCAGCCATGAGATAACCAAAACTCTGTGCAGAGATATCCCCACGACCTAATAGCGTGCGAGCGCGAGTACACGTGCGTATGCCCACCACCTCAGGTGTGTGAGTTTTGCGAGGGTTTTACGCACTTGTCTCTCGCACGGACGGCCAGCCTCCATGTCTGTTGGCTCGTACAAAGCGAACAATCTCGACTCTCCTGGAACGGAAAATCTGAAACAAAGCCAGAGGGGAGCGTGAAATCTCAGCCGTAACACCACAAAACAACTCGATAATGGACAGATGATGGACACCCCTTATTATAAAACCAGCTGAGAGTTCATCGAGTCTCATACTGCTGCATCCGCACACACCATGTCCAGACACGTTCTGTGCCGTGCCACGTCAGAGCCGTTATCGATAACCTGGCATTCGGGTAAACTCTGGGCTGTAATGGGCATCCCCCCCCTACACTTCAAAGATGGACTGCCTGGACCCGCTCCAGCCCAGCAGTCCCAGCTACAGCCCAGGATGATGCAGTTAAGGAGACAGCCCAGACCCAAAACACAGCCTGCGTTCAGCTGCCTCTACTGGTGCATGTATGTATTTATGTTGAACTTCTTTCGCACCGTACGTAGCCAACTTTGGTAATTGGTGGTGCGGGGGAAGGACAATAAACTCAATGCAAAAAGTGGTTAGAAAATAAATTGTCAATCTGGATCTCTTAAAAGTGCATAATCTCCAGTGAATTCCTAATATCAGAAGGAAGAGCATTCCAGCCGACCGCAGAAGTGCATCTGAAAGTGTGCGATACGGCGACCGTCTTTTGTTCGATGGTTAGCCAAAAGCTGCCACCGCTGCTGCGAGGAACAACAACAACAACAGAGAGCAAGTAGCCTGCTGTGTTGGAGCGTAACAATGAGTTTTATGTTCAAATGCATGTGAACCGAGTGCAGACGATTAACCTGGCTCCATGACTGTTGGGCACCATCGCCGGAGCCTCCCATCATCCGCTTCTGTTTCACAAGAAGCAGTGCCTTCGCCCTGAACCATGCGACCAGACAAAGCCACCGGGCACAACAAAAACGGAGTTCCAGCAGCCGTTTAATGACACTCACAACAAGCCACATGTCCATTGAGACACAGCAACCAGCCACATCGACACGCAGGGGCCAGAGGTGAAGACGGGAAACCATCTTAAAGCACGACTTTCATTCACGTGTTTAGGATTTTTTTCATGAAGGTTCCGGGAATCGGTTAGTCGAATGAAAAGTAGAGACTAAAGATACAGCAATTAGAGGCACGACAACAAATACACCGACATCCGAAAGGTCGCAGAAGGGATGGCCAACGAGGCACGCGATGACGACTGTTACAAAGTAGACTCTGACGCCAATGAGCTGCTCAATTCCACCGCTCTCTTTGGACAATGCACCCCACTCAGAGGTGAAACCCCAGCAGACGACGCAACTAAACGTCTGAGCGTCCAAGTGTGTGAGCGTCCGAGCAAGCATGTGTGATCCTTGTGGTATCTTGTTTGAGAGCTTCAATGGCAGAATTGCATTGTGGGATACAAATATGAACGGTGTCACTGCTTGTGAACCGACAACCGGACCACACACATTCATCATTACAATGGCTCTCAACGCAGGGTCGTGCATTCAATAATATGAATAAGATTTGTGGACAGCAATTACCAATCGCGGGAATTATTAAGTCTGCTCCTGTTTTGGCCTACAGTCCTCATTAGATGCATTCAGTACCACGGAGCTAGAGATGATCCGGCGTGACGCGATGGGAAATGGGATTACCAGCTCGTTACCTTCGTTATTTATTCATCAATGTGTTCACCACCACCGTTGTCCTCTACCCTGCTCACTGTGACACCCATCCGTTAGCGGGTCCTGACTTTATCACCAAACCCTTAGCATGTCCTTACTTTGTCACCCATCCCTTAGCGATTTCTCACTTTATCACCCATCCCTTCGTGATTTATCACTATCACCCATCCCTTAGCATGTCCTCACTGTGTCACCCATCCCTAAGCGTGTCCTCACTTTATCATCCATCCCTTAGCATGTCCTCACTGTGTCAGCTATCCCTTAGCGTGTTCTCACTGTGTCAGCCATCCCTTAGCGTGTCTTCACTGTGTCACCCATCCCTTAGCATGTCCTCACTGTGTCAGCCATCCCTTAGCATGTCCTCACTGTGTCACCCAACCCTTAGCATGTCCTCACTGTGTCACCCATCCCTTAGCGTGTTCTCACTGTGTCAGCGATCCTTTAGCATGTCCTCACTTTATCACCCATCCCTTAGCATGTCCTCACTGTGTCACCCATCCCTTAGCATGTTCTCACTGTGTCACCCATCCCTTAGCATGTCCTCACTGTGTCACCCATCCCTTAGCATGTCCTCACTGTGTCACCCCTCCCTTAGCGTGTTCTCACTGTGTCAGCCATCCCTTAGCATGTCCTCACTGTGTCACCCATCCCTTAGCGTGTCCTCACTGTGTCACCCATCCCTTAGCATGTCCTCACTGTGTCACCCATCCCTTAGCGTGTTCTCACTGTGTCACCCATCCCTTAGCATGTCCTCGCTGTGTCACCCATCCCTTAGTGTGTCCTCACTGTGTCACCCATCCCTTAGCATGTCCTCACTGTGTCACCCATCCCTTAGCGTGTTCTCACTGTGTCACCCATCCCTTAGCGTGTCCTCACTGTGTCACCCATCCCTTAGCATGTCCTCACTGTGTCACCCATCCCTTAGCGTGTTCTCACTGTGTCACCCATCCCTTAGTGTGTCCTCACTGTGTCACCCATCCCTTAGCGTGTTCTCACTGTGTCAGCCATCCTTTAGCATGTCCTCACTTTATCACCCATCCCTTAGCATGTCCTCACTGTGTCACCCATCCCTTAGCATGTTCTCACTGTGTCACCCATCCCTTAGCATGTCCTCACTGTGTCACCCATCCCTTAGCATGTCCTCACTGTGTCACCCCTCCCTTAGCGTGTTCTCACTGTGTCAGCCATCCCTTAGCATGTCCTCACTGTGTCACCCATCCCTTAGCGTGTCCTCACTGTGTCACCCATCCCTTAGCATGTCCTCACTGTGTCACCCATCCCTTAGCGTGTTCTCACTGTGTCACCCATCCCTTAGCATGTCATCGCTGTGTCACCCATCCCTTAGTGTGTCCTCACTGTGTCACCCATCCCTTAGCATGTCCTCACTGTGTCACCCATCCCTTAGCGTGTTCTCACTGTGTCACCCATCCCTTAGTGTGTCCTCACTGTGTCACCCATCCCTTAGCATGTCCTCACTGTGTCACCCATCCCTTAGCGTGTTCTCACTGTGTCACCCATCCCTTAGTGTGTCCTCACTGTGTCACCCATCCCTTAGCGTGTCCTCACTGTGTCACCCATCCCTTAGCATGTCCTCACTGTGTCACCCATCCCTTAGCGTGTTCTCACTGTGTCACCCATCCCTTAGTGTGTCCTCACTGTGTCACCCATCCCTTAGCATGTCCTCACTGTGTCACCCATCTCTTAGCGTGTCCTCACTTTATCACCCATCCCTTAGCATGTCCTCACTGTGTCACCCATCCCTTAGCGTGTTCTGACTGTCAGCCATCCCTTAGCATGTCCTCACTGTGTCACCCATCCCTTAGCATGTCCTCACTGTGTCACCCATCCCTTAGCATGTCCTCACTGTGTCACCCCTCCCTTAGCATGTTCTCGCTGTGTCACCCATCCCTTAGCGTGTCCTCACTTTATCACCCATCCCTTAGCGTGTCCTCACTGTGTCACCCATCCCTTAGCGTGTTCTCACTGTGTCACCCATCCCTTAGCGTGTCCTCACTGTGTCAACCATCCCTTAGCATGTTCTCACTGTGTCACCCATCCCTTAGTGTGTCCTCACTGTGTCACCCATCCCTTAGCATGTCCTCACTGTGTCACCCATCCCTTAGCATGTCCTCACTGTGTCACCCATCCCTTAGCATGTCCTCACTTTATCACCCATCCCTTAGCGTGTTCTCACTGTGTCACCAATCCCTTAGCATGTCCTCACTGTGTCACCCATCCCTTAGCGTGTCCTTACTGTGTCACCCATCCCTTAGTGTGTTCTCACTGTGTCACCCATCCCTTAGCATGTCCTCACTGTGTCACCCATCCCTCAGCATGTTCTCACTGTGTCACCCATCCCTTAGCGTGTTCTCACTGTGTCACCCATCCCTTAGTGTGTCCTCACTGTGTCACCCATCCCTTAGCATGTCCTCACTGTGTCAGCTATCCCTTAGCGTGTTCTCACTGTGTCAGCGATCCTTTAGCATGTCCTCACTTTATCACCCATCCCTTAGCATGTCCTCACTGTGTCACCCATCCCTTAGCGATTTCTCACTTTATCACCCATCCCTTCGTGATTTATCACTATCACCCATCCCTTAGCATGTCCTCACTGTGTCACCCATCCCTAAGCGTGTCCTCACTTTATCATCCATCCCTTAGCATGTCCTCACTGTGTCAGCTATCCCTTAGCGTGTTCTCACTGTGTCAGCCATCCCTTAGCGTGTCTTCACTGTGTCACCCATCCCTTAGCATGTCCTCACTGTGTCAGCCATCCCTTAGCATGTCCTCACTGTGTCACCCAACCCTTAGCATGTCCTCACTGTGTCACCCATCCCTTAGCGTGTTCTCACTGTGTCAGCGATCCTTTAGCATGTCCTCACTTTATCACCCATCCCTTAGCATGTCCTCACTGTGTCACCCATCCCTTAGCATGTTCTCACTGTGTCACCCATCCCTTAGCATGTCCTCACTGTGTCACCCATCCCTTAGCATGTCCTCACTGTGTCACCCCTCCCTTAGCGTGTTCTCACTGTGTCAGCCATCCCTTAGCATGTCCTCACTGTGTCACCCATCCCTTAGCGTGTCCTCACTGTGTCACCCATCCCTTAGCATGTCCTCACTGTGTCACCCATCCCTTAGCGTGTTCTCACTGTGTCACCCATCCCTTAGCATGTCCTCGCTGTGTCACCCATCCCTTAGTGTGTCCTCACTGTGTCACCCATCCCTTAGCATGTCCTCACTGTGTCACCCATCCCTTAGAGTGTTCTCACTGTGTCACCCATCCCTTAGTGTGTCCTCACTGTGTCACCCATCCCTTAGCGTGTTCTCACTGTGTCACCCATCCCTTAGCATGTCCTCGCTGTGTCACCCATCCCTTAGTGTGTCCTCACTGTGTCACCCATCCCTTAGCATGTCCTCACTGTGTCACCCATCCCTTAGCGTGTTCTCACTATGTCACCCATCCCTTAGTGTGTCCTCACTGTGTCACCCATCCCTTAGCATGTCCTCACTGTGTCACCCATCCCTTAGCGTGTTCTCACTGTGTCACCCATCCCTTAGTGTGTCCTCACTGTGTCACCCATCCCTTAGCGTGTTCTCACTGTGTCAGCCATCCTTTAGCATGTCCTCACTTTATCACCCATCCCTTAGCATGTCCTCACTGTGTCACCCATCCCTTAGCGTGTTCTCACTGTGTCACCCATCCCTTAGTGTGTCCTCACTGTGTCACCCATCCCTTAGCGTGTTCTCACTGTGTCAGCCATCCTTTAGCATGTCCTCACTTTATCACCCATCCCTTAGCATGTCCTCACTGTGTCACCCATCCCTTAGCATGTTCTCACTGTGTCACCCATCCCTTAGCATGTCCTCACTGTGTCACCCATCCCTTAGCATGTCCTCACTGTGTCACCCCTCCCTTAGCGTGTTCTCACTGTGTCAGCCATCCCTTAGCATGTCCTCACTGTGTCACCCATCCCTTAGCGTGTCCTCACTGTGTCACTCATCCCTTAGCATGTCCTCACTGTGTCACCCATCCCTTAGCGTGTTCTCACTGTGTCACCCATCCCTTAGCATGTCATCGCTGTGTCACCCATCCCTTAGTGTGTCCTCACTGTGTCACCCATCCCTTAGCATGTCCTCACTGTGTCACCCATCCCTTAGCGTGTTCTCACTGTGTCACCCATCCCTTAGTGTGTCCTCACTGTGTCACCCATCCCTTAGCATGTCCTCACTGTGTCACCCATCCCTTAGCGTGTTCTCACTGTGTCACCCATCCCTTAGTGTGTCCTCACTGTGTCACCCATCCCTTAGCGTGTCCTCACTGTGTCACCCATCCCTTAGCATGTCCTCACTGTGTCACCCATCCCTTAGCGTGTTCTCACTGTGTCACCCATCCCTTAGCGTGTCCTCACTGTGTCACCCATCCCTTAGCATGTCCTCACTGTGTCACCCATCTCTTAGCGTGTCCTCACTTTATCACCCATCCCTTAGCATGTCCTCACTGTGTCACCCATCCCTTAGCGTGTTCTGACTGTCAGCCATCCCTTAGCATGTCCTCACTGTGTCACCCATCCCTTAGCATGTCCTCACTGTGTCACCCATCCCTTAGCATGTCCTCACTGTGTCACCCCTCCCTTAGCATGTTCTCGCTGTGTCACCCATCCCTTAGCGTGTCCTCACTTTATCACCCATCCCTTAGCGTGTCCTCACTGTGTCACCCATCCCTTAGCGTGTTCTCACTGTGTCACCCATCCCTTAGCGTGTCCTCACTGTGTCAACCATCCCTTAGCATGTTCTCACTGTGTCACCCATCCCTTAGTGTGTCCTCACTGTGTCACCCATCCCTTAGCATGTCCTCACTGTGTCACCCATCCCTTAGCATGTCCTCACTGTGTCACCCATCCCTTAGCATGTCCTCACTTTATCACCCATCCCTTAGCGTGTTCTCACTGTGTCACCAATCCCTTAGCATGTCCTCACTGTGTCACCCATCCCTTAGCGTGTCCTTACTGTGTCACCCATCCCTTAGTGTGTTCTCACTGTGTCACCCATCCCTTAGCATGTCCTCACTGTGTCACCCATCCCTCAGCATGTTCTCACTGTGTCACCCATCCCTTAGCGTGTTCTCACTGTGTCACCCATCCCTTAGTGTGTCCTCACTGTGTCACCCATCCCTTAGCATGTCCTCACTGTGTCAGCTATCCCTTAGCGTGTTCTCACTGTGTCAGCGATCCTTTAGCATGTCCTCACTTTATCACCCATCCCTTAGCATGTCCTCACTGTGTCACCCATCCCTTAGCGATTTCTCACTTTATCACCCATCCCTTCGTGATTTATCACTATCACCCATCCCTTAGCATGTCCTCACTGTGTCACCCATCCCTAAGCGTGTCCTCACTTTATCATCCATCCCTTAGCATGTCCTCACTGTGTCAGCTATCCCTTAGCGTGTTCTCACTGTGTCAGCCATCCCTTAGCGTGTCTTCACTGTGTCACCCATCCCTTAGCATGTCCTCACTGTGTCAGCCATCCCTTAGCATGTCCTCACTGTGTCACCCAACCCTTAGCATGTCCTCACTGTGTCACCCATCCCTTAGCGTGTTCTCACTGTGTCAGCGATCCTTTAGCATGTCCTCACTTTATCACCCATCCCTTAGCATGTCCTCACTGTGTCACCCATCCCTTAGCATGTTCTCACTGTGTCACCCATCCCTTAGCATGTCCTCACTGTGTCACCCATCCCTTAGCATGTCCTCACTGTGTCACCCATCCCTTAGCGTGTTCTCACTGTGTCAGCCATCCCTTAGCATGTCCTCACTGTGTCACCCATCCCTTAGCGTGTCCTCACTGTGTCACCCATCCCTTAGCATGTCCTCACTGTGTCACCCATCCCTTAGCGTGTTCTCACTGTGTCACCCATCCCTTAGCATGTCCTCGCTGTGTCACCCATCCCTTAGTGTGTCCTCACTGTGTCACCCATCCCTTAGCATGTCCTCACTGTGTCACCCATCCCTTAGCGTGTTCTCACTGTGTCACCCATCCCTTAGTGTGTCCTCACTGTGTCACCCATCCCTTAGCGTGTTCTCACTGTGTCACCCATCCCTTAGCATGTCCTCGCTGTGTCACCCATCCCTTAGTGTGTCCTCACTGTGTCACCCATCCCTTAGCATGTCCTCACTGTGTCACCCATCCCTTAGCGTGTTCTCACTATGTCACCCATCCCTTAGTGTGTCCTCACTGTGTCACCCATCCCTTAGCATGTCCTCACTGTGTCACCCATCCCTTAGCGTGTTCTCACTGTGTCACCCATCCCTTAGTGTGTCCTCACTGTGTCACCCATCCCTTAGCGTGTTCTCACTGTGTCAGCCATCCTTTAGCATGTCCTCACTTTATCACCCATCCCTTAGCATGTCCTCACTGTGTCACCCATCCCTTAGCATGTTCTCACTGTGTCACCCATCCCTTAGCATGTCCTCACTGTGTCACCCATCCCTTAGCATGTCCTCACTGTGTCACCCCTCCCTTAGCGTGTTCTCACTGTGTCAGCCATCCCTTAGCATGTCCTCACTGTGTCACCCATCCCTTAGCGTGTCCTCACTGTGTCACTCATCCCTTAGCATGTCCTCACTGTGTCACCCATCCCTTAGCGTGTTCTCACTGTGTCACCCATCCCTTAGCATGTCCTCGCTGTGTCACCCATCCCTTAGTGTGTCCTCACTGTGTCACCCATCCCTTAGCATGTCCTCACTGTGTCACCCATCCCTTAGCGTGTTCTCACTGTGTCACCCATCCCTTAGTGTGTCCTCACTGTGTCACCCATCCCTTAGCATGTCCTCACTGTGTCACCCATCCCTTAGCGTGTTCTCACTGTGTCACCCATCCCTTAGTGTGTCCTCACTGTGTCACCCATCCCTTAGCGTGTCCTCACTGTGTCACCCATCCCTTAGCATGTCCTCACTGTGTCACCCATCCCTTAGCGTGTTCTCACTGTGTCACCCATCCCTTAGTGTGTCCTCACTGTGTCACCCATCCCTTAGCATGTCCTCACTGTGTCACCCATCTCTTAGCGTGTCCTCACTTTATCACCCATCCCTTAGCATGTCCTCACTGTGTCACCCATCCCTTAGCGTGTTCTGACTGTCAGCCATCCCTTAGCATGTCCTCACTGTGTCACCCATCCCTTAGCATGTCCTCACTGTGTCACCCATCCCTTAGCATGTCCTCACTGTGTCACCCCTCCCTTAGCATGTCCTCACTGTGTCACCCATCCCTTAGCGTGTCCTCACTTTATCACCCATCCCTTAGCGTGTCCTCACTGTGTCACCCATCCCTTAGCGTGTTCTCACTGTGTCACCCATCCCTTAGCGTGTCCTCACTGTGTCAACCATCCCTTAGCATGTTCTCACTGTGTCACCCATCCCTTAGTGTGTCCTCACTGTGTCACCCATCCCTTAGCATGTCCTCACTGTGTCACCCATCCCTTAGCATGTCCTCACTGTGTCACCCATCCCTTAGCATGTCCTCACTTTATCACCCATCCCTTAGCGTGTTCTCACTGTGTCACCAATCCCTTAGCATGTCCTCACTGTGTCACCCATCCCTTAGCGTGTCCTTACTGTGTCACCCATCCCTTAGTGTGTTCTCACTGTGTCACCCATCCCTTAGCATGTCCTCACTGTGTCACCCATCCCTCAGCATGTTCTCACTGTGTCACCCATCCCTTAGCGTGTTCTCACTGTGTCACCCATCCCTTAGTGTGTCCTCACTGTGTCACCCATCCCTTAGCATGTCCTCACTGTGTCACCCATCCCTTAGCATGTCCTCACTTTATCACCCATCCCTTAGCGTGTTCTCACTGTGTCACCAATCCCTTAGCATGTCCTCACTGTGTCACCCATCCCTTAGCGTGTCCTTACTGTGTCACCCATCCCTTAGTGTGTTCTCACTGTGTCACCCATACCTTAGCATGTCCTCACTGTGTCACCCATCCCTTAGCGTGTCCTCACTGTGTCACCCCTCCCTTAGTGTGTCCTCACTGTGTCACCCATCCCTTAGCATGTCCTCACTGTGTCACCCATCCCTTAGCATGTCCTCACTGTGTCACCCATCCCTTAGCGTGTTCTCACTGTGTCACCCATCCCTTAGCGTGTCCTCACTGTGTCACCCCTCCCTTAGTGTGTCCTCACTGTGTCACCCATCCCTTAGCATGTCCTCACTGTGTCACCCATCCCTTAGCGTGTCCTCACTGTGTCACCCATCCCTTAGCATGTCCTCACTGTGTCACCCATCCCTTAACGTGTTCTCACTGTGTCACCCATCCATTAGCGTGTCCTCACTGTGTCACCCATCCCTTAGCATGTCCTCACTGTGTCACCCATCCCTTAGTATGTCCGCACTGTGTCACCCATCGCTTAGCATGTCCTCACTGTGTCACCCATCCCTTAGTATGTCCTCGCTGTGTCACCCATCCCTAAGGGTATCCTCACTTTTGATAGTTGGGTACCATGCCTCTTTGCTTGTGCTCCAGGGTTTCTGGATCAATCTTCCAGGCATGCCACGACTCGTTGTTCTTCCAATGCAAGTCTATTAACGGACCACACACATTCATCATTACAATGGATTTGACAGAGTCCACTGCCGTTCGTAATAAGGGTAACGCTCTCTAACTTGCACCTGCCGAAATATATTAGGACATCGTGAAAGGAAAACTATTTTTACATGAAGGGGCAAAAATGTGATGTAAGTGGTGAAACACTCACTCCTTTATTAAGTTTATTGAGGCATCTGGCACGGATTAGACAACACCTTTCCCACTTTTCACCGGGGCAACCGGAGAGCAGCACAGACTGAGTGTTATTCACCTAACATTCACATTCTTATTCTTGGTTCTTTCGGTAAAGTCACTTTACCGAAAGAACCAAGAATATGAATCACTGCAGTCACAAAAGCTTTAAATCAAAATTCACATTATTAGCCCGGTTGGCTAGGTACGGTGTTTAAAAAGTTCAACACACATACAACATCTTTAAGAATCCCAATTAAGAGAGACCCCACCAAAGGATGGTAACCTTATCGTGGTGGTGGGGTTTTTGTGGTACAATGACCCTCAGGGCTATGTTGCCTGGAGTCTTGTACTCCTGGTTGGGTCTCCCTTGGCAAACAGGTCTGGTGGGTGGTTCCAGACAAATTACGGTCCAAAAAAGCCCCTCGTGAATGATTAAACAATACAAAAATCAGAGAACCTCGCCCAGACAAAGCATACCGGGACACACCCCTGGTGCCAGGCCTGGGGGTGGTGTTCGCCGGCAAGCACCTGGTGGCCGGGTTATCCCCCGTAACCCGGTCGGGCCCAGCCCAAAATGGCTATGTGGCACGGTCCTGTGGGTCCACCATCCGCAGGATGAAGGGTGAGGGGCGGGTGCGATGCCAGTGTGGCAGGGAGAGTCTCAGACGGACTGGACCTTGGCGATAGACACTAGATACTGGGACGTGGAATGTCATGTCACTGGGGGGGGGGGGGGGGGGGGGGGGGGGAGAGAAGCCATGGCTGGTGGAGGAGGTGGAAAGATACCGACTAGATATAGCTGGTCTCACCTCCACACACAGCATTGGCACTGGAACCAAACTTCTCAATTGGGGGTGGTCTCTCTCCTATTCTGGAGTAACCCCTGGTGAGAGGCCCTGGGCAGGTGTGGGGATACTCACAAGCCCCCAGCTGGGTGCTGTTCAGTTGGAGTTTGTCCCAGTGGATCAGAGGGTCGCCTCAATGAGACTTCGGGTCTTAGAAAAGAAAACTCTGACTGTTGTCTGTACTAATGCACCAAACAGCAGTTCAGAGTACAGGCAGTCCTCTACTTACAATGGAGATGCGTTACGACGACCCCATCATAAGTCAAAAATACTGTAAGTCGAAGATGGCCTAGCCTATCCAGGAGTCTTAAAGAATGGTGATAATTTAGCAAAACAGAGCAATTTACAGTACCGTACTGTATAAACTATATACTGTATGTATTTATTAATTACAATACTGTATTGCACAGTAAAATGTAAAGTAAAAAAAGGTATATGCTTAGCCTACCTATATGAACTGCAATTTAATAGAAAGTTTTTTTCAGGAAACAATCCTATCTGCTATAAAAACTTTCAACATGCGTTGAACGTATCGTATCGTGGTTACCCTAAAATGAAATCGCTAAAGCTACGTATCATACATAAAATTTTATCGTATCGCTATCGCCATCGTAAGATCGAAATATCGTAAGTCGGACCGTCGTAACTCTGGGACTATCTGTATTTGGCCTTCTTGGAGATGGTGGGTGCAGTGCTCGAGACACTGCCACCTATTGGCTCCATAGTCTTACTGGGCGACTTCAATGCTCACGTGGGAAACGATGGAGATACCTGGTGATTGGGAGGAATGGCCCCCCTGATCTGAACTCGAATGGTGACATATTATTGTAATCCTGCGCTCGTTACAGGAATGTCAATAACAAACACCGTGTTTGAACACAAGGATGCTTATTAGTGTACTTGGTACCAGAGCACCTTGGGCCGAAGGTCAATGATTGACCTTATAGTTGTATCATCGGACCTAATGCCGTATGTTTTTGGACACTCAGGTGAGGAGAGGGGCAGAGCTGTCAACTGATCACCACCTGGTAGTAAGTTGCATCTGATGCTTGGGGCACTGACCAGATAGACGTGGAAGGCCCAAAACGAATAGTGCGGGTCTCGCAGAAGACCCAGTGCAGAAAAATTTAAACTTCCACCTCCGGGAAAATTTATCCTGCACTTCAGGGGAGGTCGTGGACATTGAGTCCGAATGGACGATGTTCAGGAGCTCGATTGTGGATGCAGCTGCGAAAGGCTGTGGCCTGAAGGCAGTTGGTGCCTGTCATGGCGGTAACCCTAGGACCCACTGGTGGTAACCAGTGGTGAGGGAAGCTGTCAAGTTGAAGAAGGAAAAAAGGTTTCCCGACTCGATTGAGAGGTACTGGCTTGCCAAGAAGGCAGTCATCGAAGCGAAAGCCTGCGCATGAAAGGAGTTTGGAGTGGCCATGGAGAGGGACTATCGGGCAGCCTCAACGATCTCGACTTAAAGCTTTCGTGACTGCAGGAATTCATATTCTTTGGGTCTTTCGGTAAAGTCACGTAGATAGCTTCAAAGAAAATAACAAAAATCTACGACGTTTTGACCGTCATCGCTTGTGCTGCGATCGAAACGTCGTAGTTTTTTTAATTATTTTCTTTGAACCTATCTACGTGACTTTACCCAAAAACCCAAGGAATAATCCTCAAAGATTTTCTGGCAAACCGTCCGACGCCTTAGGAGGGGTCAACGGGGCATGGACCAGGCTCTTCTTAGTAAGGGTGGCGTAACATTGAACTCAAATAAGGAAATAGTCAAGAGGTGGAAGGAACACTTTGAGGAGCTCCTCAACCCGGTAGACCATGCCCTCCTCTCAGGAGGCAGCACTGGAAACAGCTGCGGGGGTCAGATTCATCACGGCTGCTGAAGTTGCTGCGGTGGTCGAGGGCCTTCATAGTACACATTCTATCGACGTGACTTTATCGAAAGAACCAAAGAATAGGCTTTAATTGTGGCAAAGTTTCTGGGGTGGACGAGAATCGCCCAGAGCTCTTGAAAGCGCTGGACAGTGTAGGAGTGTCATCATTAACATGCATATTCAATGTGGCATGGAAGGCTGGTACAGTACCTCTGGATTGGCAAACTGGGGTCGTGGTTTCCATTTTTAAAAAGGGGACCAGAGGGTGTGCTCCAACTCCTGAGGGATCACTCTCCTGAGCGTCCCAAGTAATGCCGATGCCAGACTGCTGGAGAGGAGGCTCCACCCGGTGGTCGAGCCTCAGATTCAAGAGGAACAATGCGGATTCCATCATGGTTGTGGAATAATGGACCAGCTCTTTTCCCTCTCACAGATATTTGAAGGGTCATGGGAGTATGCTTCTCCACTCTACCACTGCTTTGTAGACTTCGAGAAAGCATATGACTGTGTTCCCCGCAATGTCTTGTGGGAGGTGCTGCGGTAGTATGATGTACTGGTGCCACTTTTATGCACGATCCGGTCCCTCTATTCCCGGAGCAAGAGCTGTGTCTGTATTCTTTGTGTTAAATCAAAGTCGTTCGCTGTGGGTGTTAGACTTGTGTCTTGTCTCCACTCCTGTTTGTGAGTTTCATGGACAGGATATAAAGGCGCAGCCGAGGTATGGAGAGTATCCAGTACGGGGGCATAGAGGTGGCTTCGTTGATTTTTGCAGATGATGTTGTCCTCTTTGCCTCATCAATCTGTGATCTCCAGCATGCATTTGAACAGTTTGATTCCGAGTATGAAGCGGCTGGGATGAGGATCAGCACCTCCAATTCTGACGTCATGGTTCACTCCCGGGAGATGGTGGATTGTTCTCTCCAGGTGAGGGGGTAACAGCTGCCCTTCGTAGAGGAGTTTAAGTACCTCGGGGTCTCTTTCGCAATTGAAGGTAAGTGGGAAAATGAGATCAGCCGGCGGATCGGTGCGGCGTCCGCAGTGATGTGGGCGCTGTACCGTTCTGTGCTAGTGAAGCAGGAGCTGAGTTCTCGAATAAAGCTCGCAAGTTTACAGGTCGATCTATGTTCCCACCCTCACCTATGGTCATGAGCTTTGGGTAATGACCGAAAGGATGAGATCGCGGGTACAAGGGGCCAAAATGAGGTTTCTCCGCAGGGTTGCCGGGCTCACTCTCCGTGATCGGGTGAGGATCTCAATAATCGGGGGAAGCCTCAGAATTGAGCCGCTGCTCCTCTGGATCGAGAGGAGCCAGTTGAGGTGTTTCGGGCACATGGTAAGGACGCCCCCCGGTAGACTCCCCCTGGAACTCTACCAGGCTCGGCTGGCCTGGGAACGCCTGGGAATTTCCAAGGAAATGCTAGAGTCTGTCGCCAGGGAAAGGGAGGTCTGGACCGCCCTACTCAACATGCTGCTGCCGCGACACACCAGAACAAGCGGACTGAGAAATGAACGAAATGAACGAAACGAACGAATTAAGAGACAAAAAACAAATATACCATTAAACAGAAGAAAAATTTAAAATCTCATCAATGATGTATATACAGTATGTTGAACTTCTTTCGCACCGTACGTCGCCAACATGTGTAATCGGAGGTGCAGAAAAATTATGATGGTGATGATGATGATAACGGAAATGGTGATAGTGATGATGGTGATGATGACGAGGATGGCAATGATTATGATGGCGATGACGACGCTTCTTGCCTGTTTCCCCGTCCAGGGAGTGGCTGGCCTTGGTGCAGCGGGGGAGGTCGGAGGGGGACGGCACGGAGTTGGTGATGTGCAGGTAGTCCCCACACAGCACGGGCAGGGCACAGTTGTCTGTCTCTGGCGACAGCGAGAAGTGGATCTGCACGTAGAAGGAATCCCCAATGTCTGGGTTGCTCAGCACCTTGGCAAACCCTGGAGAGGGAGGTTAAACAAAGGCAAGGAAGCCACTGTATCGCTGTAAAGATTGTAGAAAATTCCACCGTGAGACGATGTACACTTGCACACGTGTACAATGTACACGTGCGCAGGTGTACATTGTACAAGTGTACATTGTACACGTGCACAAGTTCTACTCCTTGCCCACAGTGGGACAATGTACACTTGCACAGTACACATCGCGCACGTGTAAAATGTACACTTTTGCACACACTGTCAATCTAATGGTGACATTTTCTGCACGTGTCTTTGTGTTGCTGCACCCAAGGACAACGTTTATGCTGCTGCTTTTCTGGCCTTTTCATCTTTCAAGTGTCACCTTATCACCTCAATTACAATGGTATTTACAACACATGACAAGAGCATTAAACATGACTCAGGAGTCAATTGTAACGACAAACAGATGCAGTGTCCCTTGTGGCCACTCTCCTATTTATGTCAATATCTCTGCTTTTACGTTATGCACGCGGGCGCAAATTTCGGCCAATCCGAGAGCTCATAAGTGGGGCTGGGCTATGCCTCAGCCAATCAGCGACGCCCATTTATGAGCGTTTAGACCTGGACTGGCTTTGTTTACATTGCATTATCTGTTTTGGCAGTGAAAACAGCTCTCTTGCGGACTTATTTTTCAACTTAGAAGTGAATTCGATGAAACAGTTATTTCGGGAAACAGTAGCTTTCGTGAAATGGATTAAAAACTGCTTTCGCACCGTACATAGCAAACCGTACTAATGTATCATCGCGCCTCGTTTAAACGTATCCACGTTCACTCTCTATGGAATGGCAACTCCGGCAATCGACCCCAGAGGAGGAATGCCTCTTTCCAAGGATGAGTGAAGTGCTTTGTCAGTCCGTTCTGGTATGGCGCACAACGCAGAGTGGCAAAAGCCAATGTGCGAGTGTCTGTGTGTGTGTACACACAGACACTCGTTTGTGTACACACAGACACTCGTTTGCATATGGCTGCTTGAATGCTGCCAGCACGAGGTAAAGTTCATTTGTTTCGCCAGGTTGAGATCTGAAGAGACTAAGATGAAGTCTCACTTGCGAGATGGACCTTGGGTCACCGCAATGGCAAAGAAAGAAACGAATTAAATCAAGTACGGCAATCTGGGCAAAAACAACTGTCACGTGAGAAATCAAATATGTTGCTCGAACGTACACCGTTTAAAGAATATCTTTTTCTGTAGCGTTGGCTCATCCACATTATTTTTTTTATACTCATCATAAACACGAAACGAATATCGTATTATTATTTGGCTGTTCAAAGTGAGATGATTTGGTTTACAAGTTTGTATATGCCCCATGGTTATCATCGTTGTTGTTGCTGCTGCAACCTGCTGTCCCACCCACCTTCTGGGTTGTGCTTGAGGGAGAGCGTGACCTCTGCCGTGAGATTCTGAAGGATCCACGTGGCCTCTTCTTTCGTTGTATTCTCCAGCAAAAACCTCTGTCTCTCCATCAACCCGCGCATCTGCCCCTCCACCTGTGGAATTTTGTAACGTCTGTATTGCGCCGAGTGAGGACATTCCCGTTGCAATCCCCGCGCTTTGACATCGACATTGACGGATCGCGTAACGCAATTATCCATCACACAAGACTCTCCATCTGAACAGCTGCAAGGTGACGAGCGGATGGCAGTGTACATCGAGGAGGTTCCGAACTGCGGTGACATAAACCTCGTTCTCCCTGCTAAGTGGCAGACAGAAATGTTGCCTTGAATGCTGCATCGCCCGTGCTTGTGTGTGGGTGCTTGCAATACGCAGCATCGTATGATGCAATGCAGCGTACGTGAATCCTTCACACAAAAAGCACAATTGAACTTATAAATGGATAAATGCATCCGTGACCTCGTGTGTAATTAATTCATTCTCGTTTCTAACTAAATAAATTACCGCAGTCATGAATTTTGATTTAAAGCTTTCGTGACTGCAGGGATTCATATTCTTGGTTATTTCGGTAAAGTCACATAGAAGGGAAACAATAAAATAATAAAAATATAAAACAATAAAATTCTCACGACGTTTCGACTGCAACACAAGCAATCACCCTTCTATGTGACTCTACCGAAAGAACCAAGAATATATACCGCAGTCATGTTATATCCATGCCTTGGAACAGGGGCCGGGAAGCCATGGCTCATTAAGGCCTACTTCATGACAGTATTCGCATAGTGCATTGTGGCTCTTGAAATATTGATACTTTTTTTAAATATACCAAATTCGAAAAAAATGCCTCTTGTTATTTTGGTTGCCAACCCCTGCCTGGGAAGATGCCAAACTAGATAACACTCTACCACTTGCATTGTGTTCCAGTTATCAACAATATTGTTGACGCTTTAAGTCGGCACAAATTATGTTATTCACGACCAGCATAGGGTTTTCAGTTGTATTTTTGTACTAAAAAAAAAAACTACAGTGCACTATACCCCCGGACAAAATTACGGCGTGCCTGGACCTTACGCAGTGTGCAGGCGAAGGCCGCCGTGCGAGCGTCGGGCACACGAGTCTCACCGTCAGGATTTGGTAGTTCTCCTCAAGTCCAGAGAGGCCCGGCGCTTGGCCGTTGTGAGGGGTTTGCAGGAAGACCCCGGTCTGGTTTCCTCCGATCACGGTCACCCAGTTGATGAGGGTCTTAGCAAGAATCGTGCGATACACCACAGGCCGTATTGGGTTCTGGGGCAAATCGCTCGGCAATGGGCTGACTCGGAATGGCCTGGTGGTGGGGGAGGGGGGAACAAGGGGGATGGCCAATTAGCAAGGACATCAGCCACTCAACTGCATCCGACCCCACGATGCCAGCCTTCCCCCAAGCTGGAGCCCACTGGTAAAAATCACACGTTCAGTCTTCTTCTTTCGTACATTCAGGTGGTCAAGCCAGACAACCGAGTCAGGAGCAGTAGAGTGTACCGCTACGATGCCTCCTTCGTATTTGTGTATCAGGGCATTACGCCATCACACGTTGTATGGTTTGTTCTGGATGACCACAGTCGCACACTGCAGCGTTTTTAATTTTCCATTTGTGTATTGGGTGTCCGCATCTACTGCCATGGTTTGCACAGTGGATGCGATTTAGGGTGGACGATGAGCCTCGTGAAAGAGCAAACCCAGAGATCTTCTGCATTGGGTCTTTCAAAAGGTGTTCAGTAACCAAGGGTTTATGTGAAACATCATGCTTTCCCACTGTGTCTGTGTCCCACGACCAAATACTAAACACGTTTCCTTAGATCAGGTTCACTAAAGGTAAATGTACGCGTACCAAATATTTTTTTCTGGCACGTTACAAATTGAACAGAAGCTAGTTAATATATACCAGCCAAATAGATTTACAAAAGGGATCACTCTTAGTTTGATCACTCTTAGTTTGATCACTCTTAGTTTGATCTTGAGGGCATGGGGAGATATTCATGGCTTCAGTGTGCAAAGTCAGCACAAGCCGAGTGAAGTTCATGTCTCATGGGAATGTTTTCCGCATCACACAAAGACCTTTTTTCGCGCGAAAGTAACAAAAACCGCCATAAATGAGGGCACAATTGAGATGACTGAAATCACTCTCCGACGTTTTCCTAAATGGTATTCACCAATTACACTTAACGTTTAACCAGCCGCTGCTGGCAAACTCCAGTGTCAGTCGTGACTCACTACTACTATTTTTATTTTACCAGGTAAGGCCCGCCCGACTCTGTTTTTCAGTAGGGTCCTGCCAAGTTTTGGTGGCGAGAAAAAGGCGGCCGGGCGTGGTGCTGGCCATCCACCTCCTCGTGTGCCGTGCCGGCGTTCATAGGTGTTACTCGCTAACAGCACTTGCCCTAACAGTCTGTAAAATTCTATATGGGGGATCTTTGTGTCTGAGACCTCGTATAAAGGCACACTTTAATTGTTGCTTCTTTTCAAATAGTGTGTACATGCCGGCGACGTGTGTGCTGTGCATCACGCGATACTGCAGACACCACTTGCAGCCATGGGATTATCCAGGTGGAGCAGCATTTTAGCGAACACAAACTAAAATGTTACACACGACGAGATTACTTGGTGATGCTGCATTGGCAGTGGTCCACGAGCACAAATAACAACAAAAAAACTGAATGACACGAATCAGGAGCACCCGTGGCCTTCAAAGAATTAAAAAAACATGATAGGAGACGTCTTGGGCTATTTGTCATGAAGAAGGCCATTGCCGGAAATGTCGCCTCGTGTATATATTGTTACTTCTAAGACCACGCAGTCTTATTGATGACGGTTTTGAATGGTGTTATCATGTACAGCAATATCTCGATATGTGAATGTTCTATCTACGCATTTTCAGTATGCCCAGGTCGAGGTTTTGGTCTATGGGTGACCGAGATTTATCCCGTGTAGCCCCCAGGCTATGGAACGCTCTTCCACGAGGAATCAGGGATCTTTGAGTCCGTGAACATTTTAAAAATGCGCCTTAAAACCGTTTTATACGCTTACGCTTATTAAACGTTTAGTTATTTTAGTAAATTATTGTTAAAACGTATTTATAATATTATTTTTGTGCTGAGTGTCTGTTGCTGATGTGTCCTGTACAGCACTTTGAGATCCTTGATGAAAAGCGCTGTATAAATGTAATTATTATATTAATGAGAAAAAATATATAAGTAAAACAAGAAATAAATGCACAGAAATGGATAGGTACTAAATAAGTAATGTGTTGCTCATCTATAGTACTACATAAATAACAATAGAATTATTATAAGATCCGGTTTCTTGAGTGTTGTCCACCTCAATGAGTCACAGCAAGTTTGTTTACAATCGTCTCGGCCAATCAGCGTGCTCTAGGGAGCAGTGGTGTTTGCTGGACAATGCAACCTCACGACTGCGCCCAAGACTACACTGGAAAGTGTGAACATATGTTAACGTACAGTACACTATGTTTCTTTCATTTATGTAAAGTTTTTATTTATTTTAATAGTATACAGTATGATAAATATCATCTCGTTTTCAACATAAATTCTCTTCCTTTACATTATGAATGGTGAGAGGTGTTTATAGGATGAAATGGTAAGTTACGGAGGCTGGTGACGCATCCGCATAAGCCAATACGACGTTTTGACATACGAACGAAGCTCCAGTCACGCATCTACTTCGTATATATCGAGCTACAGACGGCACGTGCGTGTTTTACCTGTCCGTCCTGCAGTCGGGAAATTTCAGCAACTCCCTTGGTTCTCTATCAGCGGAGGTCAGGTCTTCCTCCTCTGTTGCACAATGTGCACATCAACAGCAGCAACAACAACAACAACACCACCACAGTCGTTTAGAGAGCTTCCCCGGGAGCTCTACCAGTGTGGGCCACTGTGTGGGCCCACACACCGCGCCGATCCTTTGTACATTTTGCACTACGTGGGCTCTTCCACCCCTCCCCCCCATAAGGGACTCTCAGTTTATATATATATTTGATTACAAAACTGGCAAAATTAACGAAAAGATGAATCTTTCAATGAAAATGAAATTATTTTATTTTACCAGGTAAGGCTCGCTTGAGTGGCATAGTTATTTTTCAGAAGCGACCTGGCCGCAAATGATAGCTCAATGAAGTGGCTTGTCACGTCGGCATTTGTAGCAGCCAAATACTCTAAATGCGTGTTTCTAAATGTGGAGGGAAAAACCGGAGGACCCGCAGAAAAATCCACGCGAATCACGGGGAGAGAGACACGCAAGCTCCAAATTTACAGCAGCAGTGGTCAGGGTCGGGATTGAACCAACGACCTCCTGCATACCAAGCGAGGTAATTAACATCTCGCCATCATAGCGTCAGTCTGGGGCCAGCTGCCCAGAATATCTATACCTCTGGACTGGAGATACGATGAAGCCGTCAATCACGTAAATGCAAAATCCCAACCGTTAGTACGCTGCTGCGCTATGGGCTCTGGGTCTATCGTTAGTAGCAAGCAATAACCCGAACCCGGTCCTGCTATGTCCCTGTGCCCCCGCCCCTCCTCATTCACCAACCACACAGACCAGCGTGGTGAAGTGCGGTAAATAAAAACACACACACAAGATTGACATGGCGTAGGGGAAGGCCTTCACATACGCCGGTCCGTTGAAAATGGCTGGAATATTTTTTTTTTTATCTTTTTATTTGATTCTTAGTCCCGAGCATCGGATATGTCGCATAAGATGGCAGCGCAAGTACATACCGTCCTGCTTTGAAACGCGCGGGTTTTCAGGAGTGTTGAATGCTTCGTACTTGCCGTAACTAAGCCTGCGCGAGACACGCGAAAGCACGCAGACTCAGCACACGCACGCGGCACGCGTACCACGACCTGTCAAGCGAGTTAAAGGGCACGGAAACGAGCGACGCTGTTCAATCAGAGGGTCTTTCCATTGTAGCCACGAAACAGTGACCCCTCAGATCGAGGTGAAGGCACAGCCCTGCAATTGCGAGGTCGTGTATATTTGGAGTTTGCATGTCTCTCTCCCCATGGTTGCGTGGATTTTTCTCCGTGTCCTCCGGTTTCCCCCCCCCCCCCCACCAAATTTAGAATCACGCGTTGAGAGTATGTTGCCGTTATAAATGTCCACGTGATAAGCCACTTCGTTGAGCATTCATTTGTGGCCAGGTCGCTTCTGAAAAAGAGCTACATAGCTCAGTGGGCCTTACCTGGTAAAATAAAATAAAAAGTTTAGTTTCAGTTGAGTTGATGTCATGTTCAAGCCATTGCTGGTGGAAGGGCCTCTGAGAGGGAGCGCCAAAGAGCCCCCCTCTAAAGTGTATTTGGCCTACTCTTCCACGCTGGTCCACTGGCCACAAGTAGCTTGCCCACGCTCCTACGTGTGGCTGCCGCTGTCGCGCGAGAGACGTCGTGTGAACAGTGCCGGATTATCGTAGTAGCGCAAGTAGCTACACAAGTAGCTACATATGTAGTAACTACATATGTAGTAGCTACTCCTTGTGTAGCTACTACATATGTAGTAGCTACTCCTACATATGTAGTAGCTACATATGTAGTAGCTACACAAGGTGTAGCTACTACATATGTAGTAACTACATATGTAGTAGCTACACAAGTAGCTACTACATATGCAGTAGCTACACAAGGAGTAGCTACTACATATGTAGTAGCTACATATGTAGTAGCTACACAAGGTGTAGCTACTACATATGTAGTAGCTACACAAGGTGTAGCTACTACATATGTAGTAGCTACACAAGGTGTAGCTACTACATATGTAGTAGCGACACAAGGAGTAGCTACTACATATGTAGTAGCGACACAAGGAGTAGCTACTACATATGTAGTAGCGACACAAGGAGTAGCTACTACATATGTAGTAGCGACACAAGGAGTAGCTACTACATATGTAGTAGCGACACAAGGAGTAGCTACTACATATGTAGTAGCGACACAAGGTGTAGCTACTACATATGTAGTAGCGACACAAGGTGTAGCTACTACATATGTAGTAGCGACACAAGGTGTAGCTACTTGTGCCTTGTGTAGCTACACGGAGGAGCGTGGGCAAGCTCCTTGTGGGCAGTGGACCGAGCCGGGCCTGCGAGGCCGCCTCGTGAACGTCGCGGGCGAACGTGGTGGGTGAACGTGGTGGGTGAATGTAGTGGGTGAACGTGGTGGGTGAACGTGGTGGGTGGACGTGGTAGGTGAACACGGTGGGTGAACGTGGTGGGTGAACGTGGTGGGTGAACGTGTGGGTGAAAGTGGTGGGTGAATGTAGTGGGTGAACGTGGTGGGTGAACGTGGTGGGTGAACGTAGTGGGTGAACGTGGTGGGTGAATGTGGTAGGTGAACACGGTGGGTGAACGTGGTGGGTGAACGTGGTGGGTGAACGTGTGGGTGAACACGGTGGGTGAACGTGGTGGGTGAATGTGGTGGGTGAACGTGTGGGTGAATGTGGTAGGTGAACACGGCGGGTGAACGTGGTGGGTGAACATGTGGGGTGAACGTGGTGGGTGAACGTGGTGGGTGAACGTGTGGGGTGAACGTGTGGGGTGAACGTGGTGGGGTGAACGTGGTGGGTGAACGTGGTGGGTGAACGTGGTGGGTGAACGTGGTGGGTGAAGCCGCTCCCATCGGTGCCGTGCATCACCTGGGAGGTCGGAATTGTTGATGCTGACAATCAACCGTTGGGCTTTCGTCGTTTTCCGTCTTGTTCGGCGCGGGTTCCATCGGCGACCCTTCTAGAGAAAAGGCAGAGGCGGCATGAGGGGACGTTCATTGCGTTAACGTGAGAACGTCGGTGCTTTGGCGGGTGGATGTATAAACCAGCTGTGTTGTGTACGTCCCCTTCACACGTCCATCCCGCCACCCACACACATCCCATGAACAAAGCCGTTAAAACTTTCAATGTCCACCACGTGATTCTGGAACCTCGATTTTTTTAAATCCGCCTTACGATCGCAACGAAGCCAACCACTTTGGCAAAACGACGACGCGGCCCAGCAGCAGAAGCGTTCGCCGCTCGTCGCAGACGTTTGGGGTTCAAGTCTGGCCGGCAGCCCTGGTTAGTTCTTGCCAGGGCAATAACCCATTTCCCCAGAATGGAAGCCATATTGGTGGCGTTACATTGCCGAGGAGGATCGAGCAAAAGCGTAAATGCGTGCGAAGCAACGTGCAGAGGCACGTGCTTGGAATCTCGTCCGAGGAGGCAGGAACAGAAACACGCGCATTAGAGAATGCACGCACGCAAGCGAAAGACGTGATATTGGCTGTTAAGAAAAGTGCGTGACACAAATGCAAAATTGAATGTTATTGTCAAGAATGTTAATGACAAAAGTATCATCCATAATACAAATCCGGCTGTCGCCTGATGATGCTAGTTGTAATTACCGGTGAAATGTCGTACTCGGATTGTAAATGTTGTGGCTTTGCTCTCCAACACACCGGTGTGATGTACTAGTGACACACGGTGTGCTGTACTAGTAACGAATTGTCATGTTTTGTTGACGTGACAAACCTTACTAATTGGCTGTGTCAGGTGGTGGCTGGTTTAACGACACAGTTATATATACTTATGCCATCTTACCCCAAAAAACCTGTATTATAAAAGTAAGTATGCCTCATTCCCATATTCATATTTCCACACATATTTCTACCACAACCCATCGGCCACACGGCCTTCATGATTCAGCATCTCATCGTGATGGTGCACTCAAATATAAAAACTCATCAGATGATCGATGAAACCGGACCAGAGTTTGCTTGTATTTCACCAAAGCTGCTGATATGATGCACTCCCAGAAGGCCATCCCAGCTGATGGGTTCCATAGTAGATACGTTTATTTTATGATGTGGTTTTTCAGCAAAGGCATGTAGTTAGAAAAAATGTTGGTTCCAGGCCAGGAGTGGACTGCAGTGTCTATGGGACATACATGAAATACAATCATTTGTTACGTCGAGAATGTTCCAAGGTAAATCAGATTGAATATACCTTTGTACTTGCAATTAGTCACATCTTCCCTCGAAGCATATCGGTGGGCATTTATGAACTGCAACAGAGATGGAGCACAGTCATCGTTACGCCAAATGTCGTTACCACAGAATACACGCTACGAGTGAACAGCTATTAAACAAGTCTAACACACGACGTCCATGATGTTAACCAGCAGTGGGGGGGGGGGGGGCTACTTCACCAAATCATGCAGCAGTGGAGTGAGAGTAGACGGTGCAGTCGGCACCATCCCTGTTAATTTAGTTTTCCCTCTCTACCCACAACACCGCACAGAGACACGGGCGACTCGTTAAACGGTTTTAAGGCGGAATTAATCTCGGGAAGAATCCCAGGCAAGTTGCGCGTGATGAAGAATTTAAACTGAATTTCCACTGAAGCCACAACCAACAAAGGACATGTGATTATGGCAGGTAACTGTCACCTACGTATATATGTACAAATTCAGTCACGCTAAAACATTATCGATTCAAAACGTGGGAAATCAAATGGTGGATATGTATTCAATTGATGGGACGTATTGTGCATTACCACTGCGCGGAAAGTTGCGACTACCGTTTGTGAGATAGAAATAATGCAGCTCAGCTACTTTTCCAGGACAGAGGCCATACAAGGGCGTGTATCCGTCTCAATGTCACACACATACACACGTGCGCGCACACACACACTTACACACGTACGCGCATACACACACGTACACACGTACGTGCACACAAACACACGTACACACGTGCGCATACACACACACGTACACACTTACGCGCACACATACAAACATACGCGCATACACACACACGTACACACGTACGTGCACACAAACATACACACGTACGTGCACACAAACATACACACGTACACACGTACTTGCACACACACATGTATACACGTATGCGCTCACACACACGTAAAGACGTATGCGCTCACACACACGTAATCACGTATGTGCTCACAGACACACATACGCGCACATGTACACATGTATTCACATACAAGAACACACACACGTACATATGTACGCAGCTACGCACACACACGTACACACGTATGCGCACACACACTTACGCACGTACGTGCTCACACACACACGTACGCACGCACACACGCGCACACACGCACACACGTACGCACGCACACACGTACGCACGCACACACGCACACACGCACACGTGCACACACGCACACGTGCACACACACATACCGCTGCTTTCAGGACCGAGGCTGGGAGTGACTTGCATATATCGTCATCATGCTGATCCAGTGATGAATTCGAGATGTTGTCTTGCAAAGATGAACTCTTGTTGATCACGTGGGGATGACTCAGGTTCTTTAAGAGAAAAAGCACACGTGCATTCCTTGATTGTGCAAAAACTAATCAAATGTATACACACGAAGACTTAACAAATTGTCAATACAATTAATCGGTACATACTATTCCAAAATAACATGCATATAATACATTAACAAACAAAGCAAAGAGTGGAGTAATAACGTGAGCATCGCCCACGGCCACGTTTCTCAAAGTACCGAACCGCGGATCGCGACTCCATCTCTGGCTGTGTTCTCAACATCGGTGTGGAATTTCCACTGCAAAGTCAATTGGCTACTTGCCACCCGCCCGCAAGCATTGTAACCCACCAGCGAAACATCATCGTGCTCGAATTATACAGTAAATGTCGTGGACTTTGATCTCGAACACACCGTGCGTGTGACAATCCTTACTAGTCGGCTGTATCTGCGGGTGGTGGCAGGGTTTCACGGCACATTTATATTTGCGTCATCTAACCCAAAAAAAAAACCTCTGCTGAGGATTGTTATGTATGTATGTTGAACTTCTTTCGCACAGTACGGCGCCAATTGGGAGGTGCAAACCGCGCTGAATCGTGGGCTCCTTGAGGCCACCGCTGGCTCCCGCAGGCGTCCGAGTAGGGGAGAGCAACATGCCTCAGCTCACCTCCCCCTCCGTGGCGCAAGCGGACGCGTGCCCGATGCACGATCGGTTTCTTTTGGGTGAGATCGTCGTGCTGGTATGATGCCAATTTTTTTTTTTACTAGAACCCTCCACCATCTGACGGACGGAGCCAATCAAAGCAATCAAAGCAGGTCATCGCGTGACCAAACGCGGCGACCGATTTGGCTTTTCAGAAAAGCGGAGGAGGGATGTTGAGAGGCAAGCAATATTTGACAATTTTATATCCGACGTTTCGCTGGCGTTAACAGAAGCTCAGCTCTTTCGCGTGTACTACGTGGGCCTCATATTTGTTTCGTGTTAAATATAAAAGCTACGCTTTCTTTCCAACTGAAATCCTTGCTCATTCTGCCCATTTATGTGTAGGTGCGTTTCGTGCCTTGCTACATGATCTTGGGTACTGCAGACAGACAACCAAACCTAACGAAGTGGTGGTTGCTGGCGCTGTTCAGGGTTAAGTCCTGGTTACAACCGCTCACCAAAGTTATTCACCTAATCTCACCCTCACCACCTAAACGAGTCACTTTGAAACACAGTGCACAGGTGTCATATTGACAACCCTCGCGGAAACTGAGACAGTCGGTCAAGCTCTTAACGTCCACATCCCGTTGGGTTTGGTGACCAGAGCACATCGTCGGTTGGTGGCAGACGCTGGTTTGGGATCGAGGCATCCCTCAGCTGTAATTCAACCGGGTTCTCAAAAGGCAGCGAGTCGATGGTTTCAGCTCGGTGCACCAATGACTGCGCAAAAAAAAAAAACATCACCCTAAATTTGACATTTATTAAAGAATCAAAATCCAAAAGTTGCCTTAGCAATGTGTGAATGCCTCAAGTGCTGCATTATTTGTTTCCCCAGGGCAGCCAGCACCTGCGTTGAGGGCAGCACTATCAACATCAGCAAAGTCAGCCTCTTGCGAATTTGTGCGTTCACGTTCAGAGCTCGGGGTGTGCGATGGCTGCGTGCGACGATTGTTTACAGCAAGTCGATGAGCTGCGGGTCGCCCATCAGACGTTTTCTGCTGGTGCTAAGAGATCATACAAAACTCCAAATATATAGGCATCAGGGTCGGGATCAATCCCACGACCTCCTCTACATCGCGATTCGCCCATGGAGACCGCCACTCGTCAAATTAAAACACAGACGATGCCACCGATGTCCCACAAAATAAAGTCCTCCAGACAAGTTTGGACATCAATGGATTTTAAGAGGACACATGGTTCTCTTGGAGATTAGTGTGCGCACTTTTCATTGACCTCATCCATTCCCCTTACAATCGAATCATGAGTTGGGAGATAAACCATTACCTGGCCCCGACACGAGTGCTGTTTCAACCAACAGGTTTCGACCAACTCCGAACACTCAAATGGTTAAATTTCGATTTAAAGCTTTCGTGACTGCAAGGATTCATCTTCTCTGTCGTCCCGACAGTTCTGTTCTTTCACCTGAAGAAGGCTGCTTGTGTTGTGGCCGAAACGTCGTGAGAATTTTATTGTGTTCTTTTATTGTATTATTTTATTATTTTATTCTCATTCTACGTGACTTTACCGAAAGAACCAAAGAAGACTCAAATGGTTGCGTCCGCTCCACTCCGCCTCCAGACCTGGGACTCATGCCTTTGCCTCAACACGCCTGGGATTGTGGCAACGTCCTCTACGCAGATCTACCACTTGGATTGGTGCACAGGCTCCAGTTGGTGCAGAATGCAGCTGCCTGGATGATCCGGCGGGTTAGCCGATTTAAGCACAGTACGACTACTCCCCACAGCTTGCGCCGGCTACCGGTCCACTTCAGCATCCAATTCAAGGTCACTGCTCTCCTTACCTAGAACGCACTGTGCATGGCTTGGCGCCCTTTCTACATGCAAAACCGCACTTCCCTCGAATACTCAAGGAACATAACGCAACACTCCGCTCCACGGGAACGGCGAGACGTGGCCCAGCCGAGGATTGCCCACCCGACGCCGGGGGGGGGGGATGGAGCCTTCTTGAGCGCAGCCCCAAAAACTCCGGAACATCATGCCTGCCTCTCAATTCCGTGGTGTGTGTGCAAGACAACCGCTCGCCATCGCCTCTCCGTCCCCCTAACCCCCTGCAGCATCATAATTTAGCACCACCCCCCACGGCCCTTCCTGGCAACTCCCCCCCCCCCTTAACCTGTCTGTAATCTCGGGTATCTTAGAGCTCTCTTCACTTGATGCAGCTATCTTGCTGTGACTGTTCCACCTGAAGACAGAAGCTTGTGTTGCCTCCAAAACGTCGTGATTTAATTTAGTTGTTTTCATTTTCTTTGGTTCTTTCGGTAAAGTCACGTAAGAATGAGAATAAAATAATAAATGGATAAAATAAAATAACACAATAATATTCTCACGACGTTTCGGCCACAACACAAGCGGCCTTCATCAGGTGAAGGGACGAGACTGTCTGGTAGGACAGCGCTGGAGTGTCCTACGACGAAACGTCGTGAGAATATTATTGTGTTATTTTATTTTATCAATTTATTATTTTATTCTCATTCTACGTGACTTTACCGAAAGAACCAAAGAAGATTAATCATTGCAGTCACGAAAGCTTTAAATCGAAATTGTTTTCATTTATTTTATTGTACCAACGTGACTTTACCGAAAAAAAACAAAGAGTATTAATCTTTGCAGTCACGAAAGCTTCAAATCTAGAATTAAAGACACACCTGCTCAGACGTGCCTTTCCATGAAGTCTCAAGTAAAAACTTTATTTATTGTTTATTTGATTGACCACTTAACTTTATGCAACTCATTGTGTGCGGTTGCAATTTACTCTGCTCAGTCGGTGTTAGCCGCTGATGATGATGAACCATAACTCTTATGTCCCTTGAACAGATCTCGCATAGTCCAGTCAATAGTGATCATACGAAATATTTGCTTCGTGGAGTCAACATTGAAATCCAAGTGTTTCCTATTCAAAATAATGCAGGGAGGTGCTTGGGCATGATCCTGCGCTAGAAACTCCACATTGCCATTCCGGTGACCTGGGCCACTCTCAATGACGACACTCTATCCTGGCGTCTCGACTTCTCACCCCGGTTAAACAGAATAAACGTGAAACAACGCAAACTTAACCACGGCCGACTACCCTCGCACAGTCGAAGACTATTCTCAACCCCCGGGGGGCTGACGCACGACTGCGATTGAACGCTCGAAGACGCAAGCCCACCGACCCCGATCCACGTGGTGGCTCGGGCAGAGCGCAAAACGCGCGCGCGGTGCACCTCACCGGCTCCGACGCCGTGCTGGTCATGCCCCGGCCGCTCCCCGGCATCAAGAGGTTCGCCGTCCCGCTCGCCGAATTTTTTGCCTGCAGCTTCTTGGCGCAGGCGTTGAGGCTGTTGATCTGCGCCTGGCTCTGCGCGAACTCCACGCGCAGGGCGTCCAGCTGCTCCTGCAGCTCGCGCAGCTGCTTGCGCTGCCGGTCCTTGATGGCGAGGCAGCGCGCGTGCTCCCCTTGAGCGTGGTCCCGCGACTCCAGTGCCTTGGGACAAGGGGGGTACGCGGTTCGGAGACGACGCCCGCGTTACGGGACGCTTCAAGATGGAATCCATTCCACCCACACTCCCACCACGGCTTCCTTACTCTTGCCAGATCCCAATGTTTGTTGCTTGGTCGGCGCGCGACCTGCCGCAAGTTCCACTCTTAAAGAACCCCAGCGTGCGGCTCTCGGTCCTTTCCTCCCCTCGCTCGTCAACCTCGGCGTGCCATTGCTGTACACGCCGAGTCTCCCCCCACGCGTGCCACCACTTGGACACTCCTCCCCCTGATTACAGAGAAAACGATTCGTGTCCAAGTTGCCGACCCTACCCTCTCGCATAACTCCTAGGGCCCACCACGTGTGTCTATATTTGAAGGCCGAATAAACGCTTGCATTCTCGTTACGTGCTGCATGTCCGCGTCTTGCTTTCAGATTCCCAGACATTACTCGTACACAGCACGCCCATCTCCGAGGAGTACAGCTGGTATTTTGTATTTTGTAAAAGTGATGTATGTAGACCATAAAATCATGCCCTTTGAAAGCAACACATTTCTTTAACTCCTTTTCAAAAATGCGGTGCTGCGTACATTTCTGCATACAAATATCCCCCAGTATAGCCTGAACATACTGTTTGGACAAGTGCTGTTAGCGAGCACCTATGAAGGCCGGAATGGCACACGACGGGGTGGGTGGCCAGCATCTCGCCCGGCCACCTTTGTCTCCTCAGTGGCGATGTATTTACACATCTCACTCGGTTCACAATTGAGGCTGAGTCGAAGCCCAGGACCGGTTCAGATAATCGTCACTCGTGTTGGCCGTGAGCGAGAATCGAACGCTGGTCACCGTGTTCGTGGCACAGCAGCGCGCTAACCGCTATGCTCCCACTCCCCATACATTGCTGCATTAACAAAGACAAAGATCCCCCGTATAGCCTTAACAGACTGTAGGGGCAAGTGCTGTTAGCGAGCACCTATGAAGGCCGGAACGGTACACGAGGGGGTGGGTGGCCAGCACCACGCCCGACCGCCTTTGTCTCCCTAGTGGCAATGTTTACACACCGCACCAGGTACTCATTTGAGGCTGAGTCGACCTAGGGGAGGCCCGGCACCGGTTCCGATAATCGTCACTGGTGTTGGCCGTGAGCGGGAATCGAACCCGGGTCGCCAGGTTCATAGCGCAGCGTAGCGCTAACCGCTGCATTAACACACACTCAGACACACGCTCCTTCATCGCCTCATCGTGCCAAGCTCCGACAGACACACCAACGCATGTCTCGCCGCTACCGTCTGCTCCCTTGGTGGGGGATGAGCACTGCGTGGCTGCACAGCGTGTTCATGACAGTTCCGTGACGGCCACAGAGGCGACGAGTCTTTGTCACGTAATCACCCTTTGGGCACGACAGGCCTCGCCTACTTGGTTCAGGTGCAACTGTCGTCCAATTATTTACAAACAACTGCAGGTGACGGTAGAAATCTTCCTTGTTCTGGACCCCGCAATACAGAAACGTGCAGTTGTATTTTGTTACAGGAGGCATTGGGATATTTTGGTGAATTCCTAGCCAAACACTGACTATTGCCTGCGAAAAAAGTAAACACTACCCGAGTCTAACCCACACCCGTAGGTTTTGCGCAACTGATTATTGCATCACAATCCACAACCTCACCTCCACAGCGCAGGATTAACATAGAGACCTCATTGGGTGCGACCCGATCGTAAGTGATGGATTGCATCACGGACTCCTGCAGACCACGAGCGAGCCACGAGCGAGCCACGGGCTAGCCACAAGTGAGCCACGAGCGAGCCAGGAGCATGCCACGGGCGTGCCACGAGCGAGCCATGAACGAGCCAGGAGCATGCCACGAGTGAGCCAGGAGCATGCCACGCTGCCACGAGCGAGCCATGAACGAGCCAGGAGGGAGCCAGGAGCATTCCACGAGCGTGCCACGAGCGAGCCATGAACGAGCCACGAGCGAGCCACGAGCGAGCCAGGAGCGAGCCACGAGCGTGCCACGAGCGAGCCACGAGCGAGCCAGGAGCGAGCCACGAGCGTGCCACGAGCGAGCCACAAGCGTGCCAGGAGCAAGTCACAAGCGTCCCAGGAGCAAGCCACGAGTGAGCCACGAGTGAGCCACGAGTGAGCCAGGAGCGTGCCACGAGCGCGTGAGGGCGCGTGTCCGCACCTTCTCTCGCTCCTTCTCCACGTCCTGCAGCTCGGCCAGGATGCTCGCGATGCGGTGCTTGTGCATCTGGCAATCTTTCTCCGTGGTGTCGCATTTCAGCTCCAGGCACCCTTTGTCTTCCAGGTACTGCCGGGGGGTGAAGCAGGGCGGAGTGTCAGTGGAATCAAGCGACTCAGATGAGCTATTGCTACTCTTCACTATTTTTGTTTTACCAGGCAAGGCCCCACTGAGCTGTGTCGCTCTTTTTCAGAAGCGACCTGGCCATCACGAATGATAGCTCAACGAAGTGGGCTGATCGTCACGTGGGAAATTATAGCAACCAAATACTCTAAACGCACGTTTCTAAATGCGGAAGAAAAAACCGGAGGAACCGGAGAAAAATCCACGCGAACCATGGGGAGAACGTCCGAACTGCAAATAATCAGACGTCAGGGTCGGGAATCAAACCCACCAACTACTGCATACCAGGCGAGGTAGTTAACACCTGGGGGTGTGTGTGTGTGGGGTGTGTGTGTGCGTGGGGTGTGTGTGTGGGGTGTGTGTGGGGTGTGTGTGGGGTGTGTGTGGGGGGGGGGGTGCGCGTGTGTGGGGTGTGTGTGTGTGTGGGGTGTGTGTGTGTGCGTGTGGGAGGGGGATGTGTGTGTGGGGTGTGTGCATGTGTGGGGTGTGTGCGTGTGTGGGGTGTGTGCGTATGTGTGGGGTCTTGCGTGTGTGGGGTCTTGCGTGTGTGGAGTGTGTACATGTGTGGTGTGTGCATGTGTGAGTGGGGTGTATGCATGTGTGGGATGTGTGTTTGGGGTGTGTGTGTGGGTGGGATGTATGTATGTGTGGGGTGCATGTTTAGGGTGTGTGGGGTGTGTGGGGTGTGTGGGGTGTGTGTGGGTGTGTGGGGTGTGTGTGGGGTGTGTGGGGTGTGTGCGTGTGTGGGGTGTGTGCGTGTGTGTGGGGTGTGTATGTGTGGGGTGTGTGTGTGGGGTGTGTGTGTGTGTGGGGTGTGTGTGTGTGGGGTGTGTGTGTGGGGTGTGTGTGTGTGTGGGGTGTGTGTGTGTGTGTGGGGTGTGTGCGTGTATGGGGTGTGTGTGTGTGTGGGGTGTGTGTGTGAGGGTGTGTGCGTGTGTGTGGGGGTGTGTGCGTGTGTGTGGGGTGTGTCCTGGGAACCTTATCTCTGAGCTCCTCTGCCCGTGCTAACTCTTGGCGAAGGGAGAAAATCTGGTTGAGCAATTCCTCTCGTTCCTGGAGGTGTTCGCAGGAGACGTTAGAATTGTTTCCCTTTTCCTAGGAGTGGATGAGATTGGCGAGAAGGTAGAAGGGGGGATAGTCACACACAGACAATCACAGCCCTGCAAAGTGTGCTGTACGTAGTCAACCGTGCTAATCGCACATTAAGTTTCCGTTAATTTATTCACAAATTAGTTGACGCACCAGTTGGAAATCGAACGATACAAAGCATGTACAGCAATGGTTTGCCACGTCCACGCTTTGAACAGTAACGCATCTTCATAACTGCTAAAAAAAAAACATCACCGAACAATAACTGAATGCTTTTAAAAAACAAAGCGCATTGACTGTCGAGACCCGTTTCGAGGGCTCTACAGTGGAATGCGCCCTGTGTGTACGGAGCGCTTCGCACGTGCCCGAATAAAATTCCACCCAGCGGCTGTTGAATTTCGGCCGCTTAAAGAGTCCCCAAGGTCCCGCGAAGAAGCGTGCAGGAAAAACGACGTCGACGGCCATGAGTAACACAATGAGCCGGAACATTAAAGAGTTAATGAGTCGAAGGCGTGGCAAAATGCATCCCAGCCAATTCCTCCCACTGGCAGCTCTCGCAGGGTGTTTCAACAGTGCCACCTCACCCCTTACTCCGGCATCCTCTCTGCCGCGCCCGTCTCGCTCCGGCGACACCGACCCAGCGTGCCGAGGCTCCGGGCTCGGACTTCGCGATTCGTCCGCTGCCGCGGGACGTGAAAGGTTGGGCCTCGGTCTAAAGGTCTGCCGCACACGTGCTCATTGGACTAGGGTTCTGCATTGAAAACTCTTGACCATTTCAGCAGGCTTTGGGAGTCTCGCAGTGCACGTTTAATTCTGTCCTGGCCCCCCGTGAAGTATTGCGCTGCACTGGTAATGTCCATATTGTGTCACTCAGCATCCACGTGTTATTTTAGCCAAGATGATGCATTAGGCAGCCTTTAATTTACATCACCTGCCTGAGATATAACACTTTAAGTATAAGAATAGGTTTTACCCTTTCTGGCAATAAAAGGAAGCCGTCTCTGGTGTGGACCAATCAATTTCAAGGACAATGCATATATTATCAGAGTACGTTTTCTGTTTGCATTCTGACCACAAGTATTGTGGTTAATGCAGACATGATTCCTTGTAAAAGGTTTCAGCTTGGTGTTTTAACATCTTAACACAGCTGTTTTGTTGCCAGAAAAAAGGGGAAAACCTCTTCTCAGGTGTTAAGATGTCCGAACACCAAACAGAAATCGTTTGCAAGGAATAATGTCTGAATGAACCGCACATACTTGTGGTGGACATGCAAACAAAAACATGCTCTTAACACCTGTTTTATTGCCAGAAAGGATAAAACCTATTCTTATACTTTGATACTGGCAAGAAAGGTCCCAAGTTAACACTTTAAGCGTTTCCAAAAGGGCTTTTGTGTCATGTAAATGGAGAAGAAAACAAATCAATCTCCATGAGAGGCAAAAAAAAAAGATCTTCAGCTAAAATTCGAGCACAGGACTCACTTGATTTTCTGAGCCAGTGCATGGATTGTGTTTTCATTTTCATGCTCACGGTAATTGCGCAGTAAATCACAGCCAACGATGATAACAAAAAATAATGACCCTAAATTATGACCCTATGATGGGCAGACCAATGTGACAACCTTAACGAACGGCGTTCCAGGAAACGCATTCAAGTTTGACACCGTCCAGAAACTTTCCAAGGGCGACCGACTAAAAGCCTCCATGCCGCCGGTGCCGCTACCGCCGCCGCCGCCGCCGCCGTGGCGCCGTGGCGCCGTGGCGCCGTGGCACGACCCCGAGCGATGCGCCAGAGGGGAGGGGCGTAGCCGCACCTTGCCCACGCGGTTGCGGAGCAGGGCATTTTCCTGCTGCAGCTGGAGCAGCACCTCCGCGTGTGGCCTGCGCTCCATGTCCTTGAGCACGCGGCGAGAGTTGCGCCGCACGACCTCGCACTCACGCTTGGCCTCGTTGCACACGTGCTTTAGCTCGTCCACCTACCGCGGGGCGGGGGGCGGGGGGGAGGGCGAGGGGGGCAGAAAGAGCCGCGGGGGGGGGGCAGTGTCCATCGCTCGGCAGGGGGGTGCACAAAAGACAAAGATCCCCCGTGTAGCCTTGACAGACTTTCGGGGAAAGTGCTGTTAGCGAGCGCCTACGAAGGCCACCACGGCACACGAGGGGTTTGGGTGGCCAGCACCACGCCCCGGCCACCTTTGATTCCCCAGTGGCGATATGTATCAGAAGTGCACACCACACCACAAAGATAAAGACAAAGATCCCCCATATAGCCTTAACAGACTGTAGGGGCAAGTGCTGTTAGCGAGCACCTATGAAGGCCGGAACGGTACACGAGGGGGTGGGTGGCCAGCACCACGCCCGACCGCCTTTGTCTCCCTAGTGGCAATGTTTACACACCGCACCAGGTACTCATTTGAGGCTGAGTCGACCTAGGGGTGGCCCAGGACCGGTTCAGATAATCGTCACTGGTGTCGGCCGTGAGCGGGAATCGAACCCGCGTCGCCAGGTTCATAGCGCAGCGCGCTAACCGCTACACTATCGCTCCCCACACCACACACACACACACAGAACCCCCCACAGAGCCACGTAAGGCCATAGACTCGAGGGAAGCACTCGGCTTTTTCTGGCAATTGTGCGAGGAAACGAGCCGTTCGAAAATTGCCAAACGATCGATCCGTCTTGACTTTATGCAGGCTCGGCCGTCAACCGACATGATAAAACGGCAGGGCCGGCCAAAATAGCTGCGCGACTCGGTCTCACGGCGCGGCTCCACGCGAGAGCGATATCCCCCCCCGCTGAGCGGACGCATCGCTGCGCCTGCGAGAGGGCACGCGTCGCTCCCAGTGGGCGCGCGAGCGCGGGCCGAAGGGATCGTTGAAGTTGGCGCTCACCTCCAGCTGCAGCTCACGGCACCTCATGTGCGCCGCTGTGCGCTCATTGCTCATCGTCATCATCCTCATCGCCAGCGTGTAGTTCTCATCTTTAACTGTGAACAAAGACAAAGGTCCCACCGCCCCCCCCCCCCCCCCCCGTGTAGCCTTAACACACTGTTGGTTGGAGCAAGCAACATCAATGGAGCCTTTTTTTTGCCAGGATCAACGTATTAAAAATAAGAGTAGGTTTTACCCTTTCTGGCAATGAAACAGGTGTTAAGATGATCAAACACCAAATAGAATCCTTTCGCAAGGAATCGAGTCTGCATTAACCAGACGTACTTTGTGGTGAACATGCAAACATTGATTCCTTGCAAAAGGTACCTATTTGGTGTTTCGACACCTGTTTTATTGCCAGAAAGGGTAAAACCTATTCTTACTTTTTCATATGTTCGGGCAAACACTGCTAGCGAGCAGCACCTATGAAGGCCGGCACGGCACACGAGGGGGTGGGTGGCCAGCACCACGACCTTTGTCTCCCTAGTTGCGATATTCACACATTGCAACAGGTACTCATTCGAGGCCGAGTCGACCTATGAGAGACCCAGGACCAGCTCAGATATTCATCACCGGTGCTGGCCGTGAGCGGGAATCAAACTCGGGTTGTGGCGTGGTGCACGAGCCACCGCGCCACCGCTCCCGTCACCACCACCGCCACATTCGCTGCTACGGCACCTCCCCTGCTCGTAGCGCACAACGAGCGGCCGCTCACGGCGGTTTGCGTGCCCCAATTGCGCGCTACCGAAGGCAGCACGGGTTTCGTGATGAGTAGACACTTCGAATAACATTGAAAATGATTGCTGTACGTTGGTATAGTTCAACAGAAGACAGTATCGAGGCACGTGACTATAGAGGTGTTTTCTTGCTTCCTGGCCAAATTTTACAGAAAAAAGTGAACGCGGTGAGAGATTATTTTTTTCATTGGGTACATTATTTAAAAATTTGAAATCACATTATTTAAGTGTAATCTCATTTGTTACGGATGTTGTGCCCGTTTTTCAAGGAAAAGACTGTGAGTCTCAATGAGTTCTCAGGTGCTCACCTCTGTTTACTGAACGGGAATAAATCTGTCTCAAGTTAAGGGCAGTCGCGATGCGAGTTATGGGGCAGCTGCAGCCTCCCACGAGGACTTGACAAGAGTGTTGCCTTCCAGCCGTGTATCTTATCCAGACAGGTGTTGAACTCTGCCTACACGGAGCAAGCCCAACGCTCACCGCTGCCCCACCAAACGTAATTCCCATGCCCCCTCTCCTTTATCTCGAAGAGGATATCGCAGCTGTACGAAGGGATTATGCCTGACGGCAACGTGGCTAAAGCTCATGTCTCTCTCTTGAAACGTGATCATCCTCGTAGCAGGTTAAATGAGTTCATAATCCCTCCAGGGTGGTTAAAGTAGGCACCAACAGTAGATGTCGAATGTGAGACTATTGCCTGCCAATAGCATGGAATTTCCACCACTGCCGACGGCGATGAGCAATTGCCCCACCTGCGTTTGAAGAGGGGACACGTTGGTTAGACCTCGAATGACCGACAGCTGTATGTGAGCCTCTCAAGGCCGCCATTCATTCTGTTTCACTCTCTCACTTTCCCAGCCCCAATATTTTTAAACTCGTGTCTCTCTCTCTCTCTATTTCTGCCTCTCCTCCCTCCAGGAGTTCGAAATCATAAATTGTACAGCACTGTTGGACAAACAAACAAAACCGAGAAAACCCATTAAAATTGGTAAAAAGGGGATGCTCAAACACCGGTTGTGCCACTTTGGAAACACCTTTCGGCCCCGCGCACCGCGTGGCCCAGCCCGACCCCAGCGGTCACCTCGCGCCAGCTCGTCGCTGCAGTTGTCCCTCTCCTCCTGCACACGCTGCAGCCGGTCCTGCACCTGCACTAGCTCCACGCCCTTGGCCTCCAGGATTTTGAGTCGATCCTCAAGGGCGGCGATCTTGCCCCGCAGGTGGCCCAGCTCGCGCTGCTTCGACGACAGCTGGGACTCGAGCCGCACGAGCTGCGCGATGAGGCAGCGGGGGAACGGCTCGGCCATTTCACGCTGCTCCAACAGCGGCAAGGGATCCGGAAACTCTGCCAGAGGCAACGGGAGTGAGATGCGGGAAAGGGGGGTGTCAAGGGGTCTCGACGGAGCCGTTCGTAGTCGAAGGCATTTGTCTGTATGTCACAAAGTACAAGTGCATGCATGCATGCGAGCATGCACGTGGTAATCAATGCATGGGTAATGTGTGGTTTTAATAATGGAAGAGTGGCTTTGTAGGCATGGCTAAAAACAGATGATGTATCCCTTCATGCAATAACCGCAAGAAAGAGACTAATTACACAACGTGGACCTCGTTTGCACGTGGAGCTCAGAAAAGCACGGCACGTACATATGTACGTATGTATTTTGAACATATTCTGCCCCGTACGTAACCAACAGTGCTAATCGGAGGCGCAGAAGAAGGACAACAAACTAAACACAAGAAGCAGTTCTGAAATAAATTAGCATGCCCCCCCCCCGCCCCATCAATGCAGGTATGGGTCAGTAAATTGTAACAAAAAATGGCCGCTATAGAACATCGAAGTGCAAAATTTAGGGAAGCAGATCACCAACTTGGAACCCCTTCACAGATTCTCCTCTAGTGGACATTGATTTTTAAGATTAATTCGCACATTTAGCCCCTACACCCCCCCCCCCCCGCATCTCTCCCGTCCTTCCCTAGAGAGTTATCCGAGTTAAGGAAGTAGTCACCTGGGATGTAGAGTTTACTGAAGCACATGGCACAGAGAGGTTAAAAATAATAAACGTTCGTAATAATTTTCGATTTAAAGCTTTCGTGACTGCAATGATTCATTTTCTTTGGTTCTTTCGGTAAAGTCACATAGAATGAGAATAAAATAATAAATTGATAAAATAAAATAACACAATAATATTCTCACGACGTTTCGGCCACAACACAAGCGGCCTTCATCAGGTGACGAGACTGTCTGGTAGGACAGCGCTGTCCTACCAGACAGTCTCGTCCCTTCACCTGATGAAGGCCGCTTGTGTTGTGGCCGAAACGTCGTGAGAATATTATTGTGTTGTTCGTAATAATCATTGTCATTCGCATTGTGTCTAGACTACTGGTGTCAATTCCCATGCACGCTACCCTCTGTGTATACCTGAATCGTTTGTTCAATACAAATGAATTTGTAAAACTTTAAATGTTTCAATTACACGTGTGTGCAGTTCCACATGGAAGGATAATGGCACGGGGATGGCTGTACTTCGCCATTTAGCAAAACATTTTAAAATGAAACAATGAACCGAGAAAATAGGATAAACGTGGGACATTTCAATAATCACAACGCAAATGCCGTCCGTGTGCTATCTCCGCCTTCTTTACAAGAACGCTGTACGCCTTTACAAGAGCGCTTTACGAGTGCACGCACACGATGCTGGAGAGAACCACCGAGGTATGGCTCAAAGCTCCACTTAGCGCGTTGTGAGACCCTAGAGAGCAGCGCATTCATATTCACGTCACGAAAGAGGCATCAGAACAGTTCATATGTCAAACGTGTTGACCAGAACACAACCGTTTTCATGTCGAAACATTTCTAATCAGCAGGGAAATGCTCTGGGAGGTTGTGTACATGTGTGTGCGTGTCTGCTGGCTTTGGGGAGCGGTAGTGTAACGGTTAGCGCTCTGCGCTACAAACCCGGCTATCCGAGTTTGATTCCCGCTCACAGCCAACACCAGTGACGATTAATTGAACAGGATCCCCCTTTTAGCCTTAACAGGCTTTTGGGGCAAGTGCTGTTAGTGAGTAGCACCTATTAAGGCCGGCACAGCACACGATGGGGTGGGTGGTCAGCACCACGCCCGGCCGCCTTTGTCTCCCGAGTGGCGATGTTTACACACTGTACCAGGTACTCATTTGGGGCTGAGTCGACCTAGGGGAGACCCAGGACCGATTGAGATAATTGTCACTGGTGTTGGCCATGAGCGAGAATAAAACTCCGGTCACCAGATTCGTAGCGCAGTGCGCTAACCCGCTACACTACCACTCCCCATATGCATAAGTAGACCAATGCACATACATATAAAGTACAGATTTCCACATATGGAAATGTTATTGTACAATCTGTATTCCCATGAATTGAGACGCAGGAAGAGAATGCCCATGACAACAAGGCGACATGCAAATACATGATGGTAAATTACCAACATACAAAAGCACGTACCTTGGCCAGCCTTAGGAGGGTTTCCACTGATCTTGGTGTAGACATTTTGGTATTGCGTCTCCAGCAGTGTCATGAACACTTCGTAGGCCTTCTTGCCCTTGGTCTGCAAGATGTCCAACAAACGGCCTAGAGACACGGACATCCTCACGGTCATCAATACGGAAACCACCAAACAATAACAGAACTTTTGATTTAAAGCTTTCGTGACTGCAGAGATTCATATTCTTGGTTCTTTCGGTAAAGTCACGTAGAAGGGAAACAATAAAATAATACAAATATAAAACAATAAAATTATCACGACGTTTCGACTGCAACACAAGCAATCATCATCAGGTGTGAAAGTTTGAAAATTTTCTTGTTGTGGTTTTTCACACCTGATGATAATTGCTTGTGTTGCAGTGGAAACGTCGTGAGAATTTTATTGTTTTGTATTTTTATTATTTTATTGTTTCTCTTCTATGTGACTTTACTGAACAAACCAAGAATATAATAACAGAACTGTCTGAGGGCCTCCCTCATCCTCCTCCTCATTCCTCAGACGTTAAACAGCTGCACTGCGTCCCACCCCGAGCTGCCAATGATGTCCATCATCATCACATGGCCACCACACCCAACACCGCTTCCTCTGCGGCCCGATGCCTGGTGCACGAGGTTCATAAAACGTACAAAAAACTAAGTTAGGGTTGATATCTTTACTCTGGCAGAATCCGTTTTCATTTCCAATTTTAGGCAGAAAACTACAAATGTTGTGAAATTGCGGTGGAATGGTACCGCACTTTGGCGTGGCGTGGTCTCTGCGCGGTTAGAAAATGGGGTCACTCCTTGGTAACTGCAAAAAGGGGAAACGCGAATGAGTGCCGATAAATGAAACGGAAAGATTTAAAATGTAATGAGAGGGCTAAGAGGCCTAGCGAGGGGGAGATGCACGCGCGCGTTGGGGGTGGGGGGTGGATAAATTTTGCGAAGAATGTGGCTGCGTCGTAAGCTCCCCTCGCGTGATCAGCCATTGCCCCACTTATTTCCTCGAAACCCTCCAATGTACTTCTGGCTCCACCGTGTGTTGTTGGCCATTATTTCTGACCTTTTCGCTCCATGTGCTGGGAGCTTCCTCGCTCCAAGCACCACCCGGTATTGACAGCTCAACCTCGAAAAACCTCCGCAGGATTATGGTATTCATAATAAGGGTTTTTTTTGTTGGGTTAGACCGCGCAAGTATTAATGTGCCCTTAACCCGCACCACCCGACACAGCCAGCCAACGAGTAAGGTTAGTCACGTAAACAAAACGTGCCAATGAGTCACTACTTCAGCCCAACGGTGTGTTGGAGAGTAAATCCACAACATTCGCAATTTGAGTACCTTGCCATTTCGCTGGTAATTACACCCGGCATTATCGGGTGATTTTTCCAGAATTGCCAAGATTATGGTATTGCCATAGATTCTGCTCAAAGCCTTCTGGTAACTCATGCCCCCCCACGCCCTCCTCTTGTAAAAAATACAAATTTAAAGCTGTCTGGAAACAAGTACGATCACAGAAAATGTCATCGCCATCAATTACTGCCGATGAAAACCGTAACAACGGCGACGAGGATGATGGAAGCGCCGCACAATGAGCATCGCATTGACCGGACTCGAGACAAAACCAATAGAAACAAAAGTGAATCGAACTGTCAGCCGTTGTTAACGTGCCACAATTGACACGACGAAAGGAGTCCTCACAGTAGGGCAACTGCTGCATCGACATCGTGTTGCACAGGTCTGTTCCACAGTGAATGAACAGCAGCACTTCAATGTGCCATCAGGGGAAATGCAGTCCATTCCAGAAAACCATGTTTTGCAACAATGCACAAACTGTGCAGTTATAACATTTTTTTTTTACAATTTAGGCAGCCATGAAGGTTTAAATCACGGCTGTGTGCCAACAGCTGCAAGCTACGAGCTGCAAGCACCCCCTGCATCGTCACCCCCCCCCCCCCCCCCCCATCATTGTCATCCACCAGCTTGATTACCTGCGACAGCTACAGCATCATCATCATCACAGTCAACAAACCATCGAGCGCCATCTCACAATACCTGAGTCACCATCACCCTGTCAATGCCAGACATCATCATCATCATCGTCGTCTTCTTCATCATTTAAACCCCTTCATCCACATCCTGTGTGATGCGTTTAACATGCAAAGGCATAACTCCCTGGCCATGGATGCTTTCAGTTCAGAAGCTTCGAGTGCCCCATGCGTTACACAGGCGGCTCGCGCAGCCCATTTCCCTAGCCATTTAAAGGAACTTTCGGCTCACCTGAGGAAAATTCACAGGAAAGTGGAATCGCGCGGAATATTCAACCTGTTATACATGGGTTAACATCGGGTCTTAAAACCCGGCACTTTTTCCTGGCATGCGCTTTGGGAAATTACGTAATTTATCCGTGAATTATTTGTTGGGGATAAGTGGAGGTTTCACTGGCAGATCCATCACATTGCCCACAACTTTGCAGATAAGTGGAGTCAAGTCAAAGACAACACATATAACATGAACCGCAAATGTAAATACGCCAAATCACCAATCTCTACCTTGGATTGAGGATTACCTTTTCTCTCATCAATAATCATCGTGATTTGTCTCGTTATTGATTTGGTAACCTTCAACGCGATGCTCAATTCAAGTGAAAAATAGCATCCGTTTTAGAACTAAATGCATTAAAACTGTACTCAAATGGAGGCATAACATCATCATGTTAAAGTTGAGGTCATGGGAGTGAGCCACGTCGCTCCGAGGTAGCTCCTGCGTGTCGCATGACCGAGTTGTGTCGAGGCGATGAGAGAACGGGGACACTCACTCATGCGCATCGCCTCGTTCTTGAGGGTCAAGTCGCCACACGTCACCTCCTCCTCATCCTGGACGGAGATGACCCCATACGATCGCAGGTGATGCGTCACCCTTGAGGCCTGCGCATTTGGGGGGGGGGGGGGGGGGAGAGGGGGGACACGAGCACTCTCATCAATTAATGCGATTGAGAGACATGATCACAATTTTAAGTTGCCATTCCATGGCTTTTTCAAGTCACCGTTACGGGCAATGACGAATCATCATTGCTTCATCCACAGAGATCCAGTCCCAAAAATATGTTGTTCAGGCTTTCACAAAATATATGAAGAGTGGTGTTAGAGTTTCGTGCCAGTGAAATGGTTCTGGGTTGTGATAAACAATAGCAACCACGCACAGTTGTCCAAGTCAAGGTTTTGTAGCGCGGTAAACATTCACGTAGCCGACCGGATGACACGCACTCATCTGTGTAAGCATACACTCCCGCACGTGCAATAAGCAAAGGCCAACCCTGTGGAATGCTGTATCGTATCAACGATCATATAAACTATCATGCCGCACCCACCGAGTCAAGCTTAGACACGCACACGTGTGCCTTGCGAGGTTTCTTTTACAGCCACCCCTGACATTCAATCACAATAATTGTTGCCCATCTTGGAGTCACGGTTTCAATTCAAGAGTTCATTCTCCGAATAACTCACGGTGATTGTAGCACCTCTAGTGGCTGCAGGGGTCAGGTGAACCAATTGTATGCAATATACACACACACACATGGAAACATATGGTCATGGATTTTACGCCCACGCTGATTTCAGGATTAGTGTCAGTCGATGAATCGATGCATCGTCCTTATGCCGCATTGTTTATACGACGGGGTGTAGGCATCTTTGGTGGCTCACGGAGACGAGTGAAGAAGGGGCGGGACTGGTGGAATGGTTCGTGTGGGATGGAGAATGAGAACGAGGCCCTCCTCGATGCTGAACCCAAAAAGCCATTTCTCTTTTAGACAACACACCCGTGCAATACAGCAACATTCACCCCCCACCCCACCCCTACCTTGATGGTGTTCACGATGACCTCGCGGAACCGCTCCAGCTGGTCCCAAAGCAGCTTATCCTCGTCCTCAATGTCCATGGAACCCTTTAGAATTAGTGATTCACATTCCATCGATGCGCCTGTTTGCTTCCTAACAGACGAGCTTTTGGCTCTCTTCCAGCCGACACCTGGAAGACAGCGCAACGAGCATGATGTGCTTTTACAATGTAAAGCACGAGTGTGTACACAAGGGTTCCTTCTACTTACAGAACTTTCAGAGATACGAACAAACCTGCCCGTATGTCCAGGTGTCTGTTCGGACCGAGAGTCAAAAGTTCAACCACCGCGCAATAGATAGTGGTGGCGGCGGCATCGACATTTGCAGAACATGAAGAACCAGTGGCATCTAAGTCTGCATGAGATTACACAATTTTTAAAGCCATTTCCCGTGTTTAGTCTACATGCCATACAACACGTTTGAAATCGACAGGAGTAATGTTGGACTTACGAACAAATGGACTTACGAACAGACCTCTGGAACCTATCTCGTTCGTAAGTAGAGGAGTCCCTGTACAGTACAGAAGAGGCTCTTCCTCTCTATGCGTGTTTCTCATTGCACCTCGGGCAGAATTGGTGTCAACAACAAAAAACCCGATGCAGCACTTGGAGACATCTTACCTGTCCTGGTCGTTCGCCTGTCGGTTTAGTTTCAATAGCCACTCGCTCTTTGGGTTTTGTTCCCGCGGGGTAGGGAGGGGGAATTTGTGGTAATATATTTAAGATGTTGCTATAAACCGTGCACTAATTAGGACAGACCCTTGAGTCACTTCACCAACTCGCGAAACGCGATCAAGATGAAACCCACCCAAGCATCGGGAAGCGATGGTAGAACGGCTTCAAACTGGGTCAAGTGAATGGTGAGGGAGAGGAGTGGAGCCTGAAGACGTGAGCAGGCAGAACACCCAGACGCCCACGACCTCGTAAAGATATTTAAAACATGTGCATGACATGACACTAACACACACACATTTCCTCCTTCTCATTATAGAGGCGTTTGAGGAATGCCTTGTTCAAACAGGCTTTTGAAAGGGATGCACAGCAAAACCTTGGATTGCGAGCATAATTCGTTCCGGAAGCACTCGTATATCAAAGCACTCGTATATCAGTTGTGATCACGTGACGCTCGGCAGACAAAGCGTAGACGTACCACTCGTATTGCAAGACCTCGCTCGTTTATCAAATTAATATTTACTTTAAATGTTTGCTCGTCTTGCAAAACACTCGCAGCCCACGTTACTCGCAATCCAAGGTTTCACTGCATTTCCAAAACGTCTGCATCGTTATCGAGTACAGCCACGGCTAATGCTCGAGTACAATCGATGTACCAAGATACCCCAGTTTATGTCGGGGATGCGCTCCGGAAAGGTCCGGCGACGTATATCGAAACGACGTAAATCAAAGTATTTACACGCTTTTATTTAACTCAATCTTGTCTGTTGTATCCTCAACTCTGTCTGTTGTTGTATCCTCAAATCTTGTAACTCAATGTTAACCCACTTCCCAATGTCGTATCGATTGCAAACTTGGTATACGTATGTCATACTGATGCCAATACTATATTCTATAATTAAAAATAAAATATATATTTTTAAACATTATTTTTTGTATGTTATGTTTCGGCTTGGGTCTAATTGTCCACGCTCAACTCACGTTGGCTGTAATTGGCCACGGTCCCCTTACGTTATGGAAAGCTTCGGGGCCACTTCCTGGAGTCGTGGTGGAGTTCTTCCATTACTAGTACGGTACATTTCATTAAAGCGTGTTTAAAAAAAAGTTTGTTTAAAATAATATTACTTATTTTTTTCAAAATCACTAAAATCCCGCACCTAAATAAGAACTTGTACTGTGCAGAACAGTATAGTACGTTTCTTTATGCACGACGCAAAGTTCGTGTACAGGGTAGTAGTAGGTGGAGGCAAAGGCCGAGAGGCGGCGGATAACGAAACAGGACGGACGATGCTGTCAGCCACGTGAGTGCGGGTTGAGGCGACGCATGGCCAGGAGCGGTGTTAAACACATTCCTGCGGAGGGAGGAGCTGGTAGCAACGTTGGGTTGCTCGGTCAATGGCCAGGGTCAACGGCGGCACCACGTGGTGCATTCCGCAAATATGCCCGACTGTGAGGGCGGGCACAGGCCGGCGTGAGTAGGTTAATCGTTGAGTTTTATAAGGGCACCACGGGGTGACCAGCCCCTCCCCACCCAGCCCCACCCCTCCCACCCCCTACCCAGCCCCACCCTCCCCACCCAGCCCCTCCCCACCCTCCCTTCTCCACCCAGCCCCACCCCTCCCATTTTTGGATGCACGACGGACGGACGGACACAATAATCCCCTGTGGGCTGGTGGTGTAACGAGGATATTCCTACGGCGTATTTGTGAAACAACGTAAAAATGGAGACACGTAAACTGTGGTATAACTTTACATGTGCAGCGCTGACGAATTATACCATTTCCATCAGTGATCCACCACCACCATCTCCATCAGTGATCCACCACCACCATGCCCATCAGTGATCCACCACCACCATGTCCATCAGTGATCCACCACCACCACCATGTCCATCAGTGGTCCACCACCACCACCATGTCCATCAGTGGTCCACCACTTTGCTCATCAGTGATCCACCACCACCATGTCCATCAGTGATCCACCACCATGTCCATCAGTGATCCACCACCACCATGTCCATCAGTGATCCACCACCATCATGTCCATCAGTGATCCACCACCATGTCCATCAGTGATCCACCACCACCACCATGCCCATCAGTGATCCACCACTTTGCTCATCAGTGATCCACCACCACCATGCCCATCAGTGATCCACCACCACCATGTCCATCAGTGGTCCACCACCACCATGTCCATCAGTGATCCACCACCACCATGTCCATCAGTGATCCACCACCATCGTGTCCATCAGTGATCCACCACTTTGCTCATCAGTGGTCCACCACCATCAGTGGTCCACCACCACCATGTCCATCAGTGGTCCACCACCACCATGTCCATCAATGATCCACCACCATCATGTCCATCAGTGATCCACCACTTTGCTCATCAGTGGTCCACCACCATCAGTGGTCCACCACCACCATGTTCATCAGTGGTCCACCACCACCATGTCCATCAATGATCCACCACTTTGCTCATCAGTGGTCCACCACCATCAGTGGTCCACCACCACCATGTCCATAAGTGATTCACCACCATCAGTGGTCCACCACCACCATGTCCATCAGTGGTCCACCACTTTGCTCATCAGTGGTCCACTACCATCAGTGATCCACCACCACCATATCCATCAGTGGTCCACCACCACCATGTCCATCAGTGATCCACCACTTGCTCATCAGTGATCCACCACCACTATGTCCATCAGTGGTCCACCACCATGTCCATCAGTGATCCACCACCACCATGTCCATCAGTGGTCCACCACCATCAGTGATCCACAACCACTGTCAATTGTATCAGTTTTAAAAACGATAAAACAGTACAGTTGAAAGAGCTGTTCCGTTAAAAATATTTCAGCTTTCAGTGTCTTACGTGAACATAAATGACCAATATATTGATTACCTGATTTTATCTAAATTTATCTTGTTTTTTTAAATTCATATTGCAAACTGTAGAGCAGAAGAGTGTGATGAGATGATTTCATGAGAAGGATGGCAGCACAGGATAACGATGCGTGATATAAACGACGATGAAATTGACAATGGGTGGTTAATGATGAGCCGGTGTGGTGGATGGGTCGGGAAGTGGGGACGAGGAATGGTGTTAATGATGGGGAGGGAAGGGAGAGGAGTTTGGGTGAGGGATAATAAGTGAGATGATGTTTAAGGCAAGGAGGAACAACGGACAGTGGGGGTGATTGTTTGACGTGGAGGGGGCAGCTTGTTCCAGCGTTATGGGGCACAGAAGCAAGAAAGAACCGAATCGAGATCGGGCGCATGGAGGAGGGGGAACGGAGAGACGATGGCAGCTGGGATTGTGAACAGAGAGGGGGAGATGATGGCGTAGAGACGAGAAGACGATGCGTTGGGGCCAGGCCATGGGGAGAGATTTGTAAACGAGGGTGAGGAATTTGAAAAGGCAACAATGGTAGATGGGAAGCCAGGTTGGCTGCACGAGGAGGGGAGGGAGAGGCGATTTGTGGGAGTGGTGGGGGAGATTCGAAATGATACGGGCAGCGGCATTTTGGGTTTGTTGGAGCGGTTTGAATGCATAGGCGGGAAGACCAAGCATGAGGGAGTTGTAATAATCGAGTCGAGTGATGAGGAGGGAGGGAGTTTTTTTTGTTAAGTTTGCAGCCATGGGTGAGATGAGGGGGCGGACATTGCGAACGTTGCACAGGTGAAAACGGCAGGAACAGGTTGTGGTAGATTTGTGGTCGGAGATAGAGGGCAATCAAAGATGACTCCAAGATTTACTGGCAGATGATACGGGCAGGGCCAATGCAAAAAGGGGGGAAAGGAGATAGTTGTTTAGGAATTCGCATGACGTATTACGCCTGTAGCATGCTACACAGGCAGGCACGTGCCACACGGCAGTGGCCGAACATGCATGGTTGAGGATGAAGGAGTGTGTCAGCAACTGTTGCAACTGCAACGGATACGCACTTTGCCCAGCAGACGGAAGCCGTGATGTCACACGAACCACCAACCCGGCCTCGGCAGATTGTCAGCATGAACCTATTCTACAACCTGCTGCCGAGACGATCTGCTGAACGTCGACCACCAACCACGCGGACTTCTGCGAAGACGAGTTGCTGCTGGACTCGTCTGCCGAGACGACAAGGCACAGTTTTCGCGTCATTGCCAGTCGGAACGAGTTCATCGCAAGACAGTGGGGACCTCGTGATTTGCATGTCAGCAGTTGCGGCGATTTGCTGTGGGAATGGGAGTTGGAGCTCTCCCACCTCTTCCCCCACACCACCACGCAGGCGAATGGCGAAGCTGAATCTCCCGGTCGAGATCGTGAAGAACCTGAGCAAGGACGCGCTACAAGTGAGGGTGAAGACGCGTGGAAAGATGCCATCCTGCATCAGAGGAAGACGCGCCCATCAGAGGTTGATGGATATCAGCTCAGCAGAGCGCCCGTTGTCTAGGAGACGGAAGGCATCACTGCCAACGTCTAACGACTTGCTTGGGCCCTGTGCGGTATGCGAGGTGCGCCTGAGATACCGCGGGGCGGAAGAAGCGAACCTCAGACGCAGCGGCACGATTCCTCAGCACGAAAGAGCCGCCCGAGCTGAACCTTGTGGGGAACCCATCGGCATGAAGCCACGACACGGGGATGGGAAGAGGCCGCTGGACACGGGGTTCCGGTGTGAAGAAAGCTGCGCCGAGCTCCTACCTCGCGGATGTCGATGCAACCAGGTGGAGTTGCGCTTGGCGGAGCAGCCGACTACAGAGGGCCGCCGCTTTTGTGTGCAAGCCCGCACGCTCACTGGCTCGGCAAAGGTGCCACGCAGGACCGGGCGAAGCCGGGAGAGCAGAGTGTGTTCTTGTTTTTTAGCAGGCACGCCTGAAAGCAGCAACTTGGAGCAAGCAACCACGCCGGTCAGAAATCCCAGGACCCAGTACGTCAACGTGGAGCGATGCTGGCAGCTCATCAATGTCTGCACAAAAGCGCCCTGTTTATTTTATCCTCAGTGGGCGACTGTCACAGCCAACGGAGAGGCTTCGTCTAAAAGAGCTGATCGAGGTGAACAGCCGAACAGAAAAGGAAATCGATATTTTGAGTATTGTTCGACTGCTTAATTCAAGCTAAATGTCAGAAATTGCTTTATTCTATGTCTTAAGTAGATTTGCTTTGAATTGTTAATTGTTGTTTGAATTTGGTGTTGTTTAGTGGCTGTTTGAATTTAACTTGTTAAATTGTTATTTGAAAAGGGGAGATGCTAAAGAAGGCACATCACGTGTATGTATTGCGCCATTGCATTGCACCATGACATTGTGGCATTGCACGAACGTGGCTGACACAAGCCTGCTGCAGTGCCGGATTACCGACACTGCAGTAGCTACATATGCTACGGGCCCCGCACTTTCAAGGGCCCACGCTAAATGCTTTCAAGCTATCAATTCCGGTTCAGTGATTCTACACTTGCTCTATTATAGTACTATACCGCCTTCAACTTTTATGAACGACTGGGTGTTTAAGGTTAGCGATTTGTCGTATTATCTGGCTGTATAGCAAATGGAAAAATACAACTACTTTACTATTCAAGTAAAAAAATTGTGTTTTAATATGTATGCGTTTTTATTTTATGTATGGCCCCTTTAAAACATATACTACAGGCCCCACACTAGCTTAATCCGGCACTGGTCTGCTGTCGTTATTCTATGAATCGAGAACGAGAGTAGGACATGGAGGAGGGGTTTTGTAAGAATTGATAAAGAGAAAGTGCTGGGACATCCAAGATTGGGTTGCGATCATGCAGCGAGAAATGTGAGACACGAGGTGAAAGAGGGGAAGGAGAGGAAAATATTTAAGACCGAAACAGGAGGATGTTTTTCACAATTCGGGCTGTCGCCTGATGATGCTGGTTGTTATTACCAACGAAACGTCGTACTCGAATTGTAAATGTTGTGGGTTTATTCTCCAACACACCGGTGTGCTGAACTAGTAACGAATCGGCACGTTTTGTTTACGTGACAAACCTTACTAATTGGCTGTGGCGGGTTTCAGGACAAATGTTTACATGATCTAACCCCAAAATACCACGATTATTGATACTATTGGTCGCGCAAGTCTACCAGTAGGTGTTCAAATGCGAGTGTCGTCAACAAAGAATTGATGGGGACGGTTGAATGACGATTTACATTAAAATTTCAATGCAGTTCTGCACATACAGAAACAACCCTGGTCATCGTGAACCCCGAATCATCGCTGCTGTCCCCAGCTTTGGAAGTAACGCGCACAGCAAACCACGGAATGCACACGCGCACAGCGCCGAACGGTGGCGCATACACACTTCTTAAAAGCAAACACATCACAGTTGCTGCTCCACGCCTGTATTTACAGGCGATGTGCGTACATGCGTTTGTTTGTTGATTTCTTCTACACATTCTTATCCGCACAACGTCCTTATCAGCGTCAAGAACTGCAAGGCGGGCGCGTCCGCGGGAACACCTGGACCCTTGTCTTGTCGAACATTGCCACCCAGAATCAGAAAACAGTAAAAACCGTGGATTGCGAGCATAATTCGTTCCGGAAACGTGTTTGTAATCCAAAGCACTCGTATATCAAAGCACTCGTATATCAGTTATGATCACGTGACGCTCGGCAGACAAAGCGTATACGTACTACTCGTATATTGCAAGACCCTCACTCGTTTATCAAATTTATATTTATTTAAAAATTTTGCTCGTCTTGCAAAACATTCGCAGACCAAGTTACTCGCAATCCAAGGTGTTTACTGTACTGTATTTACGCTGGAGGAATCCGATAAGCTATGAAGCTCTTTTTTCACAGATATCCAGTAATGGGGCAGGTACGAACGTGAACAACAACAGACAGTACAAGAACACGGTAGATGTACAAAGTATAGGAATAGGTAAACAAATCACTTAAACTATTATTTTTGTTTATTACCAGGTATAGCTCAACTAAGGTATTCACTAATTTTCCTAGAAGCGACCTGGACCACAAACGATAGGTCAACGAAGTGGCTTATCGTGCCGAAATGTACGGCAGCAAAATCATGGAAATCATCTCAATCAATGCACGTTTCATTCGACTCCCTGCCGGATGTAAAACTCCCACGTTGGACGCACGGACTGCCGCACCTTGTCCGCACACAAAGCCAGCCACGGGCACACGATTCAGCGTCAACAACACACACTCACGGTCAACTCCCGGCGCACATGGAAAGCGATGCGTTCATCGGAAGCCGCAAGAGTTGAAGTGGGTACAACATTCCGTCTCACACGCCCGTTTAATAATTAACCCATTCTATCTGTCGATGGTTCCTAGTGACCACCCAACACCCTCCACTCATTATTCGCCCCGTCGAAAGTGTTGGTGAATGTCACGTTTAAATGGCATACTTAATTAGTCAGGCTACGTACGCTGTGCGAAAGAGGTTTAACGTACGTACATCATTCAATCACTGGACATGTTCAGTGACAAGCATGAAACACTGCCGTCGGAGACTGATCACGGCATCGAGATGCGATGCAATGTGAATGTATATTTTTAAAAAACAAACAAAAAACACAGCAAGGGACGGGTAAACTTGCGAAACAAACACGGCAGGGGGAAAAACGTGGCAGAATCTTGACGTTAAAAACCACACAAAAACCACCGGACAGGAGTGTGACTCTCGCACAATGTACCTCTCGGAATCCCGAAGCGTCAACTCACAACACCAAGAGAGGCATCTCGTCTGTCTGCCCTTCGATCTCCGCCTCCTGTACAGTTTCGAGGGCCTGGCCACGCAGTCTCGTCGAACCAGTTCCGCACCGCGAAAACCCACAGAGGGAAATTCCTCGGCACTCATCATGATCATCATCACAAAGCGCGGTCCCGATTCCCATTTCATTGCCATTGTAAGGCCTGTGCGTTCACACACACAAAAAAAATAACACAAAGCTACATCGCCGTGATGGCTCTGCTGTTACTGATGATTTCCTGATGCTTTTTTTTTCTCCCCACAAGATCGTTAACCCGTTTTTAAAATTGATTTCATCTTAGACACATAGCCTGCGGCCCCCCACTTTTCTTTCACTTGCAGACACACTTGCGAAGCTACTTCGTGCGTTTATTTTTCTCTCCGCATTTACTTTTGCGATTCACTCTTTGCGTGCATGCCCCCTTAAAACGGTTAAGTCGCCTCCAGCACGTGCAGAATACGCCTGTCAGAATGCGAACGCATGTTGACATATGGCCTTCATGCTGGCTTCTCTCCATTGCTTGCTAGTTCGGTGTCGAGTAGAGAGTTCATTTTTTTCCTCACCTACGCGGCTGGCAATGACGCTGCTCACTCACATATATTAGGGGGAAAAAATACGAATTTTGACTTATTTTACCAGGTAAGGCCCACTGAGCTATGTAGCTTTCTTTTCAAAAACGAAGTGGCTTATCATCATCAAGTGGAAAATGTATAACAGCCAAATACTCCGAGCGCATGTTTCTAAATAGTGGAGGGGAAAGCCAGACGACCTGGAGAAAAATCCACGCGAATCACGGGTAGAACGTGCAAACTCCAAATACTCAGACGTAATATGTCGGGATCGAACCCACGACCTCTTGCATACCGGGCGAGGTAGTTAACATCTCGTAGCCACCGTGACGATGATGATGATGATAGAGACACGCAAACTCCAACTATACAGCAGCAGGCGTCAGGGTCCGGATCGAACCCACGACCTCCTGCATACCGGGCGAGGTAGTTAACATCTCGTAGCCACCGTGGCGATGATGATGGTGATGATGATAGAGACACGCAAACTCCAACTATACAGCAGCAGGCGTCAGGGTCCGGATCGAACCCACGACCTCCTGCATACCCGGCGAGGTAGTTAACATCTCGTAGCCACCGTAGCGCCCCGTCTTTACAGGACCTCCTCCTTCGCCTCATGTGTTCCAGTAAGAGCTCTGCGGACTTAGTCCGCCGCTGTTGTGCATACCCAGGTCACGTCACTCAACGATGATTATGACGATGGGTGACCAGGCCATAGTCTCGCGTGAAATCACGTCCGCTGGACGTTCGCTCTGCTGACTCCCCTCCCCCTCATATTATTCAAATCGCGCCTTCACAAGACGCAGCTTATTTTTAAAGGGTTTCTTCTATTTCTTAAATTCTTTGTTTCGAGTTGGGACTTTATTGGTGCCGTCTCGGCCTTCATAGTTGCAACTCGCGAACAGCACTTGCTCGAACAGTATTTCAAGCTATACGGGGTATCGTTGTTTGTTTTGGGCACCGCCTTGTGATCTCTGGGTGAAAGGCGCTTAATAAATTGTATTTTTTTATCGTTATGATTTAAATTGGTTGCAATACATCTTAACTATTACTGCAGTGCTGTAATTTGCTCCAGAATGTTAACACTGATCTGGAAACGTGATGCCACGTTTGTAACTATTTTTTAATGGTTTGGCTCCTTTTCACAATGTAGGGCTACGGGGCTTTAACGAGGTTCAGAGACATCCCCCCCCACCCCTCCGAAGTGAATTCCAGGAGCAAAACAGTGTTACAGAGTCTGCGGTGTTGTCACGGGGCTCAACGCAGCGCTGCTCCCAAGCACGTTACCAATTACACAGAAACACGACTGCGTTTTAATAATCCCCCCAAAATGAATACACCACCGATATGACGATGGCACGGCGGCGGAGTTGTGACTTTACTAATCACGCATGTTTTGCATGCAAATCTTTCGATAGACTGAGTCACTATAACCCTGTCAGTCAACTTAACGCCACTGCATTGCGTAACAGCTCCATAATCCCAGAATTTTGACGGTATTCACACACCCATACTTTCCGCAGCCAGACATACAGCAAGTCTGAACAGGTGACACAGCGTAGGGTTGACAAGACAAGCGGGCACTCTGAGAGCGAATTGTGTCACAAAACGTCGACCACGATGGTGGCGCACATCAACGACGTGAGGCTTGTGTCCAGTGAGCATCAAGGAGGCGCCAAGACGATGGTTCGCCAGGAGAGATTGCGGTATGGCAAGATGTGGCACTATTCTCCGTCGATTCCCATCTGTACGGGGATAGAGTGTTGCCCCCTCGCACGTGTGGGTTTTCTCCCGGGTGCTCCGGTTTCCTCCCACGTGGTTATTAAGCAGAGAGGACGACAGAGCTTGGGCTCACCACGTGACTGCTGCTACTGCTACCTTCCCCCTCGTCTGTGGCTCCTCCCCGCGCCTCCGAGTCATCCCCTCTCTACACCGAGAGCGAGCGAGGGCTGCGCCGCACTGGCGCAGACACACAAGTCGAATGAATGATTGTGCATGCACTTGTGCTGTGACTGCGGAGCGGGTGCGCGGTGGTTTATCGGCACTGTGCTACGACGCTGGCGGACCTGGGCTGACCACGGTTAAAGCATTAACACTAAACCGGCTGTGAGTGTCCACGCCAGCGAGCCACACCGGTGATCGGCATGGTGCGGAACATCCCCAATGCTGGGAGGGATTCTTCAGCTGTCATGTTAACAAAAGAAAGTCTGCGGAAAAGTATTATGCCGCTAAACACAGTGTTAACTATTCTTCTTATGTTTAAATAAATAGATAGAAATCACATTATTTCATGGTGTCGTGCATAGCGTTAGTCACGGTACGTGTTCTACAGAAGCAATGGCATCTGGCGCCGGCTCAATGCCACCTGGCCAATATTGGCGCGTGAACATCACTCTGCACCGGTGGACCACCCACGAACGTTGACAAACAAACATATTTCAAACTCTGCACCTCAACGGTAACGTTTAGGTGCAGAGTTCTTGTCATTGGGCTCTTGCCTTCCATTTTATTGTCTTGTTTACAATGTGAGGTTTTATTTTTCATATATATAACGCTCGTTGTGCTTCCTGTTATGATGATTGTGTACAGTGCTTTAAGATCCCTGCACGACGAACGCTATACAGGATGCTTCAAAAATAGTTTAACACTTATATGGGACTCTAGTTTTAATTGAAAATGAACGGATAACACACTGGAACATGATAAAAAATGTATGTTAATAGCTTTAAAAAGTCAAAGAGTCTCCACTTTCACACGTAGGCTTTTTAACACGTACGCTTTCGCGACCAATATCATCCATGATAGAGGTTTTTTGGTTAGATAGGCCATAGGTTCGCTGCGCGGAGGAGGGGGGAGGCCGAGATGCCCCTCGCCTCCCATAGCGCACTTTTGGTGCTAGCGAAGACTGCCTTTCTGAAGATGGACCACGACAGAGTCGACTCGCTGGTCCTCGAGAGATTTGCTGGCTTTGGCTAAGGACCTCAACATCGTCCTGCCGGCTGTCGACGACGACGAAGACGACGATCTATCCACCATCAAGGTTGCAAGATGCATCCAGGCGCAACAGCTCTTGCAACGGCACAAGGTGTTGGCGGCGTGCACCGCGCCTCGTGAGGCTCGCGATACACCTGAAGACGCGGAGCCCGTCCCAGCCTGCGCATCGACCCAGGGTGGAGGCTGGCGAGGAGGCGGCGGAGGACCTCTCCTCGTCCTGGGAGCGGGCTCGTCGTGTGCTACAACTGCGGCCTGCCGGGACACGTCTCAACGGGCTTCCGCGTGTCGCGACGACGCCTCCCCGGACCACCGCCGTCATCCGCCCGACCGTCCTTCACTCCGCTACACCCGAAGGTGGGTCGCGACGCGTCACACGCTCGGCCCCTGAATCCACCTCACCCATCTCGCTCACTCGGTTTCCGTTCCCATCGTGCGTCGGTGCGGGAGGGTTCGGATTTTGATCGGGCCGACCGGCCGCTCCGACCGGGTCAGTGGTCAGAGCTGGCCCATAGAGAGATTGATAGAGGGGGTTGAAGTCAGGATGCTCATTGACACCGGTGCATCAGCGTCCATCATTTCAGTGTCGATTTATAACATCTTGCCCCGAAATGTCGTACCTTATGCCCTGTCGAAGCTCCGTGCTTCACCGCAAACAGCGGCTCATTAGGCATCATTGGGAGAATAACAGCGGAGGTGTGCATTGCGGATGTCAAATTGACGGGGCCAGTTCTTGTATCGACATACCTTGCTCTTCCTTGCTTGCTCGGTACAGACTTTTTGGGGAGGATGCCCCTGAAAATTGTAATCGACCCAGGGTGCCTTGAATTACCATCCGGCCGTCGAATGTCATTTTTGCCTTCTCCCACTCGCTTTTGCACAGCCAACGCTGTCGTGCAAACACTTGCACGTAAGACAGGTAAGATTCCCCCTGGCGCGCAAATCTTGGTCCCTTTGCGATGGCGGAAGCCGCTAGACCAGGAGGCGATGGCGGGAAGAATCCTCTTGGGACCCTCTAATAAAGCCGTTTGTGGGTTGCCATAAAAAAGGGAAAACCTCTTCTCATATTTTGGTACTGGCAAAGGAGGTCCAATGATGTAGATGCTCACCCCCGAGCTCTCATTACTCTGATAGTGGCGTTGTCTTTGTGCTGTGTACGCCTTTTTGCGTCCTCTGGTCTAACACCTTTTGAGTCTCGGCTCCAAAGAAAGCTGTCTCTGGTGTGGACCAATCAGTGTCAAGGACAAAGCATATATTATCAGAGTATTTAAATTTCGATTTAAAGCTTTCGTGACTGCAATGATTCATCTTCTTTGGTTCTTTCGGTAAAGTCACGTAAAATGAGAATAAAATAATAAATTGATAAAATAAAATAACAATAATATTCTCACGACGTTTCGGCCACAACACAAGCTTGTGTTGTGGCCGAAACGTCGTGTGTTGTGGCCGAAACGTCGTGAGAATATTATTGTTATTTTATTTTATCAATTTATTATTTTATTCTCATTTTACGTGACTTTACCGAAAGAACCAAAGAAGAATTATCAGAGTATGTTTTTTGTTTGCATTATGACCACAAGTATTGTGGTAAATGCAGACATGACTCCAGGTAAAAGGTTTCAGCTTGGTGTTTTAACATCTCAACACAGCTGTTTTGTTGCCACAAAGAAGGGGACCGGCTGCTTTTGTTCATCCTGAGGAATCTACGTTGTACGTTCTACGTCCGACAGAGTCACCAACACGTGGACCTTGACCCAAGCTGCGGTCTGGTCCGTTGTCGCTAGTTGCGGTGTAATTAGTGCAGTTAGCCTGGTGGTCACCACCATAGGTTGTTATTCTGTTAAGGGGCACTTACCCCATGTGTTGGTATTAATAAATGTGTTGCCTTCAAGAAGTGCGTCTGTGACTCAGTTGAACTGTCGTTAAAACCCGCCACCACCCGACACAGCGAACTAATAAGAGTTGTCACGTAAACAGAACATGTCCAATTCGTCACTAGTACTGCACACCGGTGTGTTGGAGAGCCAAGCCACAGCATTTACAATCTGTAGTAATAGGTTTTACCCTTTTAACTGGCACAAAAACTGACACCTTTATTCAATAACCACAACACA